CCTGGCAGAGCAGTGCTGAGCTCTGCCCTGCCTCAGCCCGTGACAGTCGTTTGCAGCCAGGGGAAGGGGTCGTTCCCCTCGAGCTGGAGCGCTGTGCCTGCAATAATCCCTCCCAGCAGATGCAATAAACATGTCGGACCATAAACCAGCACCGAGCACGTTCAGCCTCACCTGAGGTCTCGTCCCGAGCTTGCAGCAGGACAGCTCACTTTTGGGGAGGATGCTTGTTCCAGCCCTGCATCGTGACCTCGCGCTGTCCTGCTGTCTCTGCACGTCCCCTTCCTGAGAGCATCACAGGAGCCGGCGGTGAGCAGAGGGGAGAGGGAGGAGATGACCTGGTTCAGGAGGGGAAATTGTTCCAGCCGCCCATCTCTAGGTGTTTCTGCAAAAGATCCTCCTTTCCCACCAGGAAAGCTTTGCTCCTCCTCCCGGTGTGGTGGGAAGCCCGACGTGCTCGACACGAGGGGCTCAGAGGCTGCTGGGGTGATGCGGAGGAGCGCGGCCGGGTTCCTCCTCACCCCGGGCTCTGCTCCCCACGGGTGCTCCCCCAGCCCTGCCCCATGGCCCCCAGCCCCTCCGTGGGCCTCAGGGCTGTGCTGCCTCAGCCCCTGCCAGGCTGCTAGCCGCGGGGTGCCCGTCCCCCCCCGAGCTCCTGGGGTCCCCCCGCTCCCCACACTGCTGCAGCACCGTGCCTTCCCCCGTCCCCCCCGCTCCTTCCAGAGGGTTTATCGCACCCTCACTTCAATCCCAGCGCGAGCCGCGCTGCCCTGCCCCCGTGCTGAGCCCTCTCACATCTCCTGCCCTCTCTGTTGGGTAAGTTTGTCTTATTTACAGCGGTTCTCCTCCTCCGTCGTGCAGCCCGAGCGGCTTTGGCGCCGCGCTGCCCTGGATTTATTCCCTGCAAGGGGGCCCTGCAGGTCAGCAGTGGCGGGGCGCCCTGGGAGCTGGCAGAGGAAGCTTCACACACGTGGGGCGATGGGTTTGTCCTCACCCTCAGACCGAGCAAGAGGAGGTGCTGGAGCTGTGATGGGGCGGTGGGGCGGCCTCTCCCCTCGCCCCGCGCTGGCATAAAGGGCTGCCTGGAAAGCAAGGCTGGGGTGGGAAAAGTACCAGCACATTTTAATTTTCATCTCAACCTCTGCTGACCACTGTATTTTGATTAGAGCTCTGCTTCCTTTTCATCTCGGTGCTCCGGCTGGTGACAACTGCCACAGCCTCGTGCGCGCAGTGCAATAGTTTATCACCGAAGGCCAGGCGCTCTATGAATTCAGAGCCAGCGCTGAACAAATCACGCTGTCACTAACGTCAAACTTGTTAACCTGATCTTTGGTGGATCACTAGTGTCAACATTGCATGGGACATACATTATCGGGCCCAAGGACTTTGGGAGATGCGTTTGTCAGGCTGCTCTGTCACAGTCCCACTCTTGACCTTCAGAAAGTAACTTTCAAGGATAGGCTGCTTTCCTCTTAAAAAGAGTTGCTGTTCCCAGAAGTGTCACCCCACGGCCACCGGCTGGGATGGGGCTGCGAGGTGAGGCTGGGTCACCACGCCAGCCCAGTAATGGGCAAAGGATCCACTGGGATGGTCCCGTGGGGCATCTGCCAGGGCAGGGGAAGGCTTTCCACCCATGCCCATCTCTGGCCATGTCTATTCCCTGAGCTTCTCCCCATCTTGTCACCAAGTGCTCTCACCTCTCTCCTCACCTCTTGCCCAGCCACCATCCCTCCGGAGCTCAGACCTGAAAACCAGCCCATTGCATGCAGCAGACTGGTGGGTTGCCATTTACTGGACCACCACGGGTGTCTCACGACTCGGTTTGCCAAGAATTGCTCTCGGCGTTTCTGGCGGGGTTGATCACCGCTGCGGAGGGAGGGACGGCAAAGGATGGGCCACCACGGCCGGGATGGTAACAGCGTGCTCAAGGGGTTTGTGCTCCCGGTAAGCTCCTGCCCAAGCTCCCGGGGGGCGGTTGGGTTTCGGGGTACCTTTGCTGGGGCTGGCGGCGCCCCCTCCCAGAACACGGGGGTATGGCCTGGGCCCCCCGCACGGGGCTGTGCGCTGCCGGGCTGGGGGGGTCAGACTGCGCCGGAGCAGACGCGGCTCGCGGCCGGGGGGACCCCGAGGCGGGCGCTGGATTCGAGCCCCACGTCGCTGTCCCCACGGGCCGACCCCGCTAATCAGCTGTGAAAGAGAGAGAGAAAGCTGGAGAGAAATCTTTCTCTCTGCTAACCTCATCACAATAAAGATTCCTATAAAGAGCTCTTATCCTTGAAGAAAATGAGGCACATAAGCAGGAATAGTAAACAAAAGGCTGTCATTTTGACCCAGGAGTGCTTCATGTTGTTGGCAACTGCCAAGAGGAAACATAAAGAGAGGCTGCATCCAAGTCCCAATTATGCAGAACTATGTGACTGATATGTCAATGAGTCCCCCCGGGAAGAGACCACCAGCGCTTCCCGGCGCTGCCTGCGCAGCATCTGCACCCGCCGCCGCGCGCCCGGCCCGCCCGCGCCCCCGAGCGAAGGCGTGCGTGGCATCGGAAGAATGCGGGGGGACAAGGTAATGTCATCGGGAACGCTATCGCCAAAGTCCTCGCCGCGCACGCATTATCGGCACGGGCCCCGGAGTCAGGGACTGCGGGCAGCCGGCGGCGCAGGCAGCCAGATCTGGCAAACAGTAGTGCTGACCACACCTGCTGCAGGCACGCTCCGGGAACGTGGCGCAGGCAGGAGGGCTGCCCCGCCGCCGATAAGCCGAGTGGATGGAGATAAAAATCCGAGAAGGAGATATGCTTTGCTGAGCATCAAGGCTACGCACCAGCCAGGAGCCAAAGCACGGCTGCGGCCCGCGGCGGGTGGTGTGGCTCCAGGGGCTCCAGCCGGCCCCGCGGCCCAGCCGGGAGGAGATGGGGGAGGCCAGTCGCTGGGCCAAAACCCGGGGCTTTGGGGACGGACGTGCCGGTGCTTGGGCCCGCCGGGAGCGCGAAGCAGAGGCTGTGCCGGTCCCTTGGCCGTGACAACGCTGCGGCAGGGCAGCAGCTTTGGGGCCCATCCCCGGCCCTGAACGGCAGCCGTCCCCTCCCCAGCGCACCCCCGGGGACCCCTGCGGCTGGAAGGCCAGGGCCACCCTGTCCCTCCACACCTGGGTGCTGTGACCACCGAAATATCACCCCGGTCTGCCCCTCCTCCCCGTCCCCGGGGACCCCTGGGCTGCTCAGAGCCTTCAGCACGGGCTCCCCATGTGCTGGCTGCTCCGGTCTACGCGGGCACATGCTGCCAGGGGTACCCGGGGTCCCCCCGGGCACAGCCGGTCCCACATCCCAGCCCAAACCCAGCGTGGAGCGGGGAAGGCGGGCAGGAGCCGGGGCAGGGGGGTCGGTGCAAAAGGCCCCCGGCGTCGGAGCTGGCGCCCACGCTGCAGACGGGCCCGGGCATCCCTGGTGCCACCCCGCGCAGCCACCCTGCCGCCGCGCTGCCCGGCCGCTCCGGAGCGGCTTTCCCAAACCCGCCCTCCCGCCGCCGGCCGGGACCTGCCGGGCTGCACCGCGGCCCCTGCGCTGGCCCTGACCCAGGGGCCGCACGCCCGCTGCAGGAGCTGGGCCGCAGCCTTGGCAAGGGCCTGTGCAAAGGAAAGTGCCCAAGGCCAGCGGGGACGTATTTACCCCTGAAAGCACCTTACTGCAAAAATAGCAAGCGGCCGGCGTGAGGCCGGGGCTTCCCAGGGGAACAATGCCCGGCGGGAGGAAGCGGCTGCGGCCGCCCCGCAGCCCCGTCCCCGCCTCGCGCGGTGCTGAGCCGTGAGCCGCTGCGTGCCGGCCCGGCAGGGACCTTGAACCTGCCACAGATTTATTTTCTCTGACATTGGCATCGCGTCGGAACATCTGGCATGTGGCTGATAATTGCTGGGGATCAGGGCGGAAGCCGCTCCGGGCCTGGCGCTTCTTCCAGAGCTCTGTTTTCATTAGTTTTTCTCCTCTCTTCAGCTGCAGAGCGAGGAAAAAACAAGCAGGGCTGCGTAGCTCGTCGCTCCCACTCCTCTCCCCGCGGCTGCAGCACCGGGGAGCTCCCTGCTCCCCACCCACTCAGCGTGGGTGCACCGCCGGGCCCGTCACCGTCGGGCCACGGCAGGGCTGGGTCGACGCCGGGGGGTACACGGGCCTTTCCCTGACCCCTGAGCACAGGACCATGGGTCCTGCCGTGCCCCCCCCGGGTGCCAGCAGCCGCCTGGCCGGGGCAGAGCTGCGGCACAGCCCTCGCTGCGGCGGCACGGGGCTCGGGGCCAAGGTGGCCAGCCGGTCCTCAGGGCTGTTGTCACTGCAAAGAGCGGGAGATGCCACGGCGATGGATGGCCGGGGCACGGGGTCGTCAGCGGGACCAAATCCCCGCTCTGGCGGGACGGGAGCTCTCGAGTGCGGCCTCTCACCCCCGCGCCCGGCCTCGCCACCCTCGCCTTTTCGCCGGGCGATTGGAAACCCGAGCCCTGCAGCCGGCGTGATGCCCGTGGGTCAGGACTGTGCTCGGTGCTGGATTGTGGGGGATCACACCCCACAAACACAGCTCTGCACCCAGGGGCACCAGCTTGCTTCGAGTGCCCTTTCGGCACACGCGGAGCTGCCGGCCGCGGGCGCTGCGAGCTCGCAGGGACCCCGGGCGTGGGGCCCCACGCGTGCAGGAGCCTCCTCCCACCCTCCCCTGCAGAGGAGACCCTCGGTGCCGCGGAGGCCCCGGCGGCAGGTCCCGGTGCTGGATGGGTGCTGTAGGCTCGCACTCCTCCCAGAGGCACCCTGCCCAGCACCCATGGCCCCTTCCCTCCCTCCCACCCCAGGCCATAAATCAGCGTGGCCGTGGGTGCTGGCGTGCTCGCCGCCGCCCACCGGTGCCCCCCACCTCCCCGCAGGGTCTCTCTCCCGTGGCGTGTTATCTGCCGCGGGGGTCCCACTTATCTCCGCTGTCACTTTCTAATGCTAGTTTATGGGCAGCGTTTTGTAGCTTAATTATGATGTTTTTCAACGCGGTCACGTGGCCACAGAAGCCAATAAGGCACCGAAGTGGGTCCATCCCGGCTGAGCCTGGCCCCCGTGGGGAGGAGATTGGCCGGTGTCCTGCCCAGGGCGGCGTGTGCGCAACCAGAGCCCCGACACCTTCCCGGCGGACACAGGTCCCATAAATCCCCCAGCCTGCTGTGGACGGGGCAGCGGTGCCCAGCACCCCACGGCGGTTCCTGGGCTGGCAGCCCCTGGCCGGCGGCACGGGTGAGGCTGCCCTGCCACGCCGGCCCCCCGCGCAACTGGGCGCGCAGCTGCCTCGCGGTGAGTATATGTCCGTGGGGAGAAGCGCGGTCCCCCCCCCCCCCCCGTCCCACCACTGCCGCCATTCCCCGGCACGGTGGCGGCCGAGGCCGGAGCTGGGGACGCGGCAGGGCTTGGCGAGGAAGTGGGAGCCGTGCGTGGGCCTCCGCTTCCCGTCCCGTCCCCATCAGCGGGCGTGGGGATGGCGGCTCGGCACGCCGTGGGCAGCAGAGCGAGGCCTCGCCGTAGCCTTGGCCCCTCGGCCGTGCTGCTGCCCAGAAGCGACAGATCCGCCTGCCCGGGGGCACTGGGAGCCCAGTCAGCAGTAGCTGTGGGTCCCCGGTCACCCCAGCGCTGTGCGTTACCCGTGGGAACACAGGCAGCCCCCACACCCTGGAGCAGGCGTGGGAGGCAGCCGGGACCCCCCGGCACCCAGAGCTGCCTGAGCCCACGTCTTTTCCCCATCGCGTGCCGGCAGGCACCGCAGCCCTCGGCTCTGAGTTGCTTTTGTTCCTCGCGGTGTTTGCTTGGCTCTTCTCCCGACCCCCGGCCCCTCCTGGGCTTCTCTTCCCGGACGGCAGGTCCCGCTCCGTGGCTCCCCCGGGAGCTCGTGGCGAGCGCGGGGGCCGTGGCCGAGGGGCTCTGCCGGCGGTGGGAACGCTCCTTCCCGGCCAAACGACGGCTGCCCCACACCGGGGGCTGCTCTGCTGCTATTCTTAGCCTGGGCTCCATTCCTGGTGGCTCCGGAGCGATGCTCGGCCGAGCCCGTTTCCTGTTTGTCGCTCTCCCTGCCAGCGCCGCTTCCCACCCGCCGCACCCGCAGGAGTGTGGGGTGAGCCGGGCGGGATGGATGAGCCGGGTGGGATGGGCTGTGCGGGATGAGATGCGGGGGATGAGCCGTGTGGGGCTGACAGCCGTGGCTCCCCTTCCCCAGCACCACAGCCCCCAGCCGGGCGGGAGCTCCAGGCACCCACAGCCGGGGGGTTCCCCGTACTGCTGCCCTCCCTGCAGCTCCATCCCCTCGAATCGGGGGTCCCTCCCCGGGGGCTGTGCAGGGAGCAGGCTCCTGCCCGTGCTGGGACAGGCTGCGGCTCCGCACCAGCCTTGAAGGGTCTCCTGACCGAGGGGGTCAGCCCTGATGGGACGGGTTCAGCTCCAGCGCCCAGCTCAGAGCCGGAGCCTTGAGCTCCCCGTGGCCAAGTGCCTGGGCCGCGGCGTGTGGCCAGCCAGCCCGGGAGCATCCCAGTGAACAGGACGTACTGGGAGCATGGATGCTCCTGTGCCGGGCCGCTGCCATCATGGAATGTTTCATTAAGAAGCCCTAAAATGTGACGCAATGATTTAAATACCAGCAGTGAGCAGCCGCTGCCTGACAGGCAGGCCGGGACACCGTTGGCAGTGGCAGCCCTACACGGGGTGGCTGGCACTAGGTCCAGACTGTCACCTCCTTCGTAGTGGCCCCAGAGGAGGTGCCAGGGGCTGCCGCACACCCCAGTGCTCCTCACGCAGCTCGCCCCGGGCTCTGCGAGCACCCCGCTGCAGCCGGCCGGCGGGCAGGGAGTCACGGGGGAGGTTTTGGCAGGACCCAGGGGCTGTGCACCGAGCGGGGCCGCCGGTGGGGTGCTCCTCTTCCTCAGACACTTTTAATTGTGCTCCGGCCCCAGTTCCCACACTGGCCCTGCCGCTCGCCAGCCGGGTGCTCAAGGAAGTGGGGGAGTCCTTGTTCCCCACGGACCGGGGTGGGGATGGGGGTGGGGGGGGCAGATTCCTCAGCCCCAGGGGGGAGCGCGGAGGGTTTGGTGCCCCATCCTGCAGAGAGGTGCCCCAGGCAGCCCCTGGGCTGGACCCCGCTGCCACCGAGGCCTGGCCGAGCAGCTTCCCCTGGCCCGGGGCTGCTGGGGGGGGCCCTGCCGGGCCGGGGCAGAGCGCGGCCCCGTCCCCGTGTCCCCGTGTCGCCAGGCTGGCAGGTCCCTCCGCTCCCCCCACCACCCCCACCACCACCCCCCCCCGCGTCCCCAGCGCCGTGAGCCGCCCGCTCTCCCCAGAGGAGGTCCCCCAGCCCCCGGGGGGGTGGCCGCTCGCCCGCACCAACATGGAGATGCTCTTCCAGGCGCTATAAAGGGCTCCGGCTCCGGCACCTGCCTCTCGGTCTCCGCCGCGCCGCGCTCCCGCTCCGCACCCAGCGCAGGGGCTGGGGGCCGCCCTCCCGTCCCCATCCCCGGCCCCGGCCCCGGCCGCCCCGTCTCGCTGAGCCGCGGGCTCGCCCCGCAGCAGGGCCGCTGGAGGGGATGGACTATTCCTATGATGAGGATCTGGACGAGCTCTGTCCGGTCTGCGGGGACAAGGTCTCCGGGTACCACTACGGGCTGCTCACCTGCGAGAGCTGCAAGGTAGGAGCCGGGCGGGGCTGTGCGGGGCCGGGGCTGTGCGGGGGCTCTAACCGGGGCTGTGCGGGGCCGGGGGCGTCGGGGCCGGGGCTGTGCGGGGAGCGGGGAGGGGGCTCTGCAGGGGCCGGGGCAGCGGGGCCGGCCGGGGGCAGCTCCTCGCCCGTTTTCGTTAGCGGCGGATTCGCGCGCAGCGGCGGGACGGGAACCCCCCGGGCGCGGCGGGGGGCGGCGGGACCCTCCGTCGGAAGCGAGACGCGGGGACGAGCTTGCTGGTGCCGGGGTGCCGGGGTGCCGGGGTGCTGGGTGCCGGGGTGCCGGGGTGCCGGGATGCTGAGTGCCGGGATGCTGAATGCCGGGATGCTGGGGGCTGGGTGCCGGTGCCGGTGCCGGTGCCCGCCGCATCGCCTCCCGCCGCCGCAGGGTTTCTTCAAGCGAACGGTGCAGAACAACAAGCACTACACCTGCACCGAGAGCCAGAACTGCAAGATCGACAAGACCCAGCGCAAGCGCTGCCCCTACTGCCGCTTCCAGAAGTGCCTCACCGTGGGGATGCGCCTGGAAGGTACGGCACGGCCGGGCTGCGCGGCTGCGGACGGGGCTGCGCGGCTGCGGACGGGGCTGCGCGGGGCTGCGCGGGGCTGCGCGGTTCCCCCCGGCGGCGGTAGCGCTGTCCCCGCCGCGTCCCCGGGCCGGTAATTCCCGCGGCCGCTTCGATTCCGTTTTTCCCTCCCAAGTTAAAAAAAAATTCGTTTTTTCGCGTCGCCTCCTGCTTTTCCTTTTTTTGTTTTTGTTTTGTTTCCCCGGGGGTTTTGGCTGCTGCGGCTTCAACTTTCCAGGATTTTCTTTGCTGGCAGAACGGTTGGGAAACAGCGTAGAAATTATTGTTTTCCTTAAGCGCATAATTCCAGAAGCTGAGACTTACGGAAAACATTAAAAATGGAGCTTGGAATAAAACTGCTGCAGACCCACCACGAATTATATTTTTCCTCTCGGTGACATTTAGTATAACAGATTTCTGGGCTGTCTGACTCTCGGGGAGCGCAATTACAGCCCCCACGGCCGCCACCTCGCCCGTGTCAGAGAAGTTGATCCTGACCGAGATGTCAGAGTCGGGCCCCACCAGCCCCGAGCCGGGCGGTGTGGCTTCTGCAGCGCTCAGCACCGGCCAACAAAATACACTGGGGGGGACACAGATCGCTGGCAAGCGACTGCAAAGCTGAAGCCGATGCAGAGAGGAGCCCCCCCACACCAGAGTCAGCCGCCCCCCTCCCTCTTCTCCCCTGAAATCGTTTACATTTTGCAGCAGATGAAAGGGGCCAGATGCATGGCCGGGCTGAGACCCCTCACCTGGGCTTCGCCCGCCCGGGAGCCGAGGGCAGAGTGCGGGTTAATCAGAAAGTACTGTGTGTACTCACAGAGCGGCCGCTCGCTCCCAGGAGCGGGATGAGAGCCTGCGAGCAGAGGCGCAGGAGTAAGACACAACATCGAGCAGCAAAATCAGCCCCTGCAAACTCCCAGCGTGGGCCGGCTTCCAGCCCCGTCTCCAAACAGATCCCAGTTTCACTCTCCTCCCTGGACTGGAGTTACTGGTGCCCTGAATCAATCCGTGCATGCTCTGGCTGTTTTGACCGGCGCTGCAAGAGAATTTGGGCGCTGGGGGCTGCAGGGGCAGGCAGGGACAGCACTTGGGCTGGCTGGGGGGGGGACAGGCACTCACTTTGCCCTTTTTCAGCCGTTTTTGTCTCACTCACTGTGGAGCCCCTCTGGTCCCGTGGCCCGGGAGGGCAGCAGCCGGGGTGTCGGAAGGCTGCTCCTCCCAAACAGCCTTGTTTTGTTTATTTTCTTGCTGTTAGCTCCTTAGCAAAGCCCTGCAGCCAGGCAGCTGGGGGGGGGGGGCGGGGGGGGAATCACCCAGCGGAGGATGATATTCCCGTGGGACTGTCTCTTTTACAGTAAAAACCAGAGCCCACCTTTCCTCAGTTCCTAGTATTTTTGGGCAGGGAATCTGAGGTGGTGCTTTGAAGGCGAGCCCCTGGCTCTGCAGGACAAAAACAAGCCCGAGGTGATTGATTTGGGGGACAGTGTGTTGACACCCCCCCCCCGCCCCGATGTGACCAAAGCGATGATGCAGCGAAGCCTGGCTGGGGAGAGCAGCACAGCCCTGGGCCGAGCCTGCCCACCCCCCCGGGGCACCCCCCGAGTCACCCCCGGGCACCCCCCCATGCCCCTGCCTGGGAGAGGTGGGCGAGGGGAGGCAGAGCTCGGCCGGAGCTCTGCGCGGGGGAGAGGGCAGGCGAGGCAGAGGGGGTGTGTGTGGTGGGGGGGGAGGTGCTGGGGGCCCGTTCCTGCCGTCGTGCCGGCCGGCTGCACCTCGGGGGCCGCCTGCAGATGGTTTTGTTGGGGGGATGCCGGGGGTGCTGACGCTTCCTGAGCAGCTCTGCTCGAGCCCCCTGGCCCCGGAGGTCGGGCCGCATCGGTCGCTTCCCGGCAGCCAGCTGGGACGCGACAAATGGCAAGTTGTTCCCGATCCCAAGTGAGGCACAAATGGCAGGAAAAGCGGATCAAGAGGGAATTAAAAGGCCTCTTCTCCCTTTGTGTTCTTGCTGGGAGAGGGAAGGAGGTGTACTAGCGGTCGCCTGCGGCAGGTCTGTGAGCACCTCTCGCTCCGTGGGGGGGGGGTGTGCAGGCAGCACCAGTGGGGCCAGGGTCACAGAGAGCCACCTGGGATGCGATCCCTGGGCATCGCTGGGCCTGGCCTGCAGCAGTGGTGGGAACACGTTTCTTGGAGCGGGTGGGAGATTTGGGCTTTCGGTGAGCTCTGGCATTGCCGGGGCATGCGGCTGGGGATGCCAGCCCTGCCGGTGCCAGCCTGGGCTGTGAGACAGGGTCTGCCCATGGGGATCGCGGCAGGGGCACGCACGCACGCTGACTGCTCCCACTCCCCTTGTACCCCTGAAGTTAGGCACTGCCCCGGGGCAGCTCTCTGCTGCCCAGAGGCATGTGAGAAGGCTTTGAGGAGCTGGGGGGGGACGTGGGGGGTGTCACAGCACCCCTCTCCTCAAAGGATGCCCTGGCTGCCCCGCTCCCAGCGCGATGCTGTTTTCATGAATAAAGAATGAGGGAGGAAGCGCGGGGCGGCTCCCCTGGGAGCACATTCCTGCTCGCCCTGGAAATGCTGCTGCTCCCGGCGACGCTCCCGCATTTCCAGCCTGCCTGGGGAGAGTTTGGGAGGCAGCCTGGGTCTCCGGGGGGGGGCTGGCCACGTTTACAGCAGCCTCAGGACAAGTAGGGGAAAGAGAGGCAGAGGTAACAGCTGAAACACAAAAGCAAGACCCTCCTGCTGTCAGCAGGGACGCAAACTAGCAGAGGGTTTTTTTCCCTTTGATGCTAAGTCTGCGGGCTGTGCTCGCTGGCGTGCTCTCCTCCATCCCGTCGTGCCGCCAGCCAGCTCCCAGCTTCCAGAGAGCTGAGGCTCTTCCAAGGGTGGGCCGGGGCAGCAGGCCCCGGGAGCGCAGCGGGGCAGTGCGGAGGGACGAGCTCTTGCTGCAGAGAAGCACCTGCTCCCTCGCGCGCTGACACATTCTTGGGTTTCTTTTGGGGTTCGGAGGGAACATCTGCTTTGCTGCCGCCGGGAGGTTGCGATGGGGCCGTTGGAGTGACTGCGCTGGTGGGATGCTCTGGCAGAGCCCCTCGGCCGTAGCTGACACCCGTCAGGGACAGGCAGAGTCCGGCGGGACCTGCTAGCCGTGCTACCTGTGAAAGGGGCAGAGATTTGCAGAAAGGAAGCATGTGCAACCTGCGTGTGGGTGATCCAGGGTCCTGAAGGTGCTGCGGGGTCCCAGGCTCTGCAGAAACAAGGAAATCCCAGGGCTGGTCCAGAGTCGTAAAATGAAAGTCAGTATCGAGCCCCTTTGTCTCCCCGGGCTTCGTGGGCTGCCCCCTCAAGCCACGAGGGATGCAAGCTGCTTTATCCCCCAGCCCATTTTTGTAGTTAAAGCCGAATGTCTCTTCCTTTGCTGCAATTCCCAGAGGCCCTGAGGTGGCACCAGCAAGGCAAGAGCCGGGGCCAGGCACCTGAACCTGCCGTGTCGCGTCCGTGCTGCGCACGGCTGGGCTGGGAGTGGCACAGCCCTCTGGCAGCTTTCTGGGAAGGTCTCCCTGGTGCCCCCCCAGCCCCATTTGGTCACCAAATTACACACACACACACACACACACACACACACACACACACACACACACACACCATTTTCTCCGTGTTGCGTGGAAGCGCTGGTCTCCCTCCGCGCAGGTTCACTGCAGCCTCTGCCCTCTCTGCCCCCAGCTGTGCGTGCAGACAGGATGCGCGGAGGGAGGAACAAGTTTGGACCCATGTACAAGCGGGACCGTGCCTTAAAGCAGCAGAAGAAAGCTCTGATCCGTGCCAACGGCTTCAAGCTGGAGACGGTGCCTCAGATCATGTCCCCGGCGCAGAACGACTACAGCCTGTCCTCCACCATCCACAGCATCCACGCCATGTCCAAGACCTTGCCGCCCAACCCTGCCGCCCTGACGCCCGTCGACTACGAGCGCAGCCCCTACGGGACACCCTCCCTGGGGATGACTGGGCCCAGCCACGCGCCGCTCGCCGGCTACCACTACTCCTCCTTCCCCAACCGCACCATCAAGTCCGAGTACCCGGACCACTACACAAACACGCACGAGTCCATGTCCGCCTACGTGTACCCAGAGACCTACCCCAGCAGCTCCCCCCCCGACATCCCCGAGGTCATCCTGAAGCTGCTGCAGCTGGAGCCCGACGAGGCCCAGGTGAAGGCGCGGATCCTCGCCTGCCTGCAGCAAGAGCAAGGCAGAGGCCGGCACGAGAAGCTCAGCACCTTCGGCCTCATGTGTAAGATGGCCGACCAGACCCTCTTCGCCATCGTAGAGTGGGCACGGAGCTGCATCTTCTTCAAGGAGCTGGAGGTAGGAGCCCGGGCAGGGGGGTAGGATGCTGCACTGGGTGGGCGGTGGGAGACAGGCAGAGTTGAGGACGGGATGCTGCCCTGGGCAGGACTGGGGCTGGAATGCTGTGAGGGTGAGGCAACCCCAGTGCGTATGAGCCCCGGGGCCACCAGTGCTGCAGATCTACTGGTGCGTCCCCGTCCCGCTCCCGCCTCCCCGTGTGGCAGGGCTGGTGGCACCGGGGCCCGGCTGCGTCGCCGGAGCGATTCCCGCTGTCACCGCGGGGCTAATGAGTTCAGATTCATCAAGGCAGGGGCAGGTGTGGAAGCAATCGCCGGCAGAGTGACTGCGGTGTCAAGCTCAAGATATAATTGAAAAATGTAACATTGCGGAATTATAGTTGAGACAATTCTCTCCTCTGCCTTTAGGAGGAAAATCGATGCTGTCAGGTAGGTGCCTATTAGCACCAGGCAGCCGGGGCAGGGCTGGCTGGGGTGGGGGACACCACCAAGCCTCCTCCGGAGCCGCTTCTGCTGCCGGCAGCCCATGAGCGTGCCGGGCTAGGGGACGTGGAGCTGACCCCCCCTCCCGCCAGGCCGTCTCCTCTAGCAAATCCCCCCCAAACACTTACTGGGGCCAAGGGGTGAATTAGCAAGGGTGGGGCAGCCTCTGCCATCCTGCAAGCCTTGCCAAGCTTTCAGACATTTTCCATTCATGTTCTGGGCTGACCTAAGATCCCAAACTGGTGCAAAAACAGGAGAGAAAATTTTGCAACATGGCCAAAACCCAGAGAGCCACATTCCGGGGTGGCTGGGAGAGCCGGATGCCTTCCCGTGCTTCCAGCATGAGGCTGTTCTACCCGGCTCTGGCCAAAATCCCCTTCTTCTCGCAGTGCCGTGGGGACAGTGCCCCGGGACAGGGCCGGGCTCTTCCCCACGCCGACCCCGCAGGGTGCCATGGGGCCGAGCGTGGCAGAGCCTCGTGGCTCAAAATAGCCCCGGGCTGCCAGAACAGTGTCAGGAAACAGCATTGTGGGGGTGGGTCGGGCTCATTTCAATCATATCAGTGTCCAGCCTGGATTTTGGGAACAGGGTGGTTGTTGTTTTGCAGGAGATATTGTAAACAGTGTAAATTCAGCTCCCGGCTGCATTGCCGCGTAGCCTTGTAACTCCATTGTCAGCCTGATTGCGCCACCAAAATAGGCTGTTTCCGTGTGAATCCGCGTCAGCGGGCGCTCCTCCTCCCGTGGGGCTCGGGGAGGGGGGGACGGGGGACGGCAGCACCAGAGGCCTCACCTGGGCAGGGCCACTGGTGTCCTGCCAGGAGCGGGGCACGTCCCCCGCCATGCCCAGCACACGGGGTGCAGCACCCAGGGGTGGCAGTGATGGGTGGGGATGCCCAGCCGAGCTGCCACCCCGGGGGCTCGTGCTTTTTGCCATCACCCACGCGGTGGGCGTGGGGCACATTCCCAGTGTCTCGCAGGGCCAGGGACCACGGGCCACCACGTCCCACCCTGACTCCGGCGGGAGCGTGAGAAAGCGCGGCCGTCCCTGCCCTTGGCTCCTTCCCGTGCTCTGGCTCAGCAGCGCGCGGCGTAACCGGGCAGGTCCGAGCCCCCGGCACGGGGATGAGGTGCCCGGGCCCCTCTCTGCATGTCCCCCACCCCGGGGATGGCACCGGGGCTGCCCGCCACCCACCCGCCACGCCGCGTCCTCCCTGCAGCGGGGTGGTTGCTTTCCCTCGGGTGCGCGGAGAGAAGCGGCTGGGAAGCAGGAATAGGGCTGCAGCTCCTGAAACCCCATTGCTGCTCCTGCCCGGCGCATAAAAGCAAACAGCTTCTGGGGTGGTAAACGAAATCCTGTTAGTGCAGAGTTTATGGCTCTACCCTAAAGCCCGTTAGCACGGAGTAAAATCGCAATCTCAGAGATCGATGGCCGTCATGCCGGCAAGTCCCTGCTGGGTGCTCAGGGCTCCGCGGAGCAGGGGATGCCAGCAGCTCTCTCCATCCCCCGGAAACAATTGCATGAAGGCGAGGGGCTCCGTCCCCAGCTGGGGAAGGGCTGTGCCTGATGCCGGTGCGGAGATCCAGGCTGGAAGGGCATCGTCCTGGGACATGGCTCCAGGGCATCATGCTATGCTCCGGCCGCGGGCCGTTTGGCAGAAAGGTGGCTTCTCCCCTCGGGGCTGCACAGGGAGCCTGGAGAGGAGGGAGCAAACCCTGGGGGGCACGGGGGACCCGCTGGCTCACGCCTGGCCAGGAGGAGCCTTTGCTCCCCGCGCAGGGAGAGCCTGAGCAGGTTTCCCCTGGAGCTGGCAGGTCTTGTTCCCGTTCCCATTCCCATTCCCATTCCCACTCCCACAGAAGCAGCCTAGCGAGGGGCAACAGCAGACCCAGCAGGGTGGGGGGTGTCGGGGAGAGCCCCCCCCGCCCCCGCCCCCCGGCTCCACCGCTGCGCCCCGGGAAGGAGGGGGGAGATGGGCTAATGGCCTCTTGACATCGGCTCACACGCCACGTCTGCCCGCAGGCGCGGGGCAGTCAGATTGAAAACAGATTTAACTTCCCAGATATATCGTTTCATTTAAGGGCCAGTAATTCTGTCAGTCTGCCACTGACAAACGAGGGTCCCCATGCCAATCCGCCGGGGAGACTGATGTCGCGGTGTTCATCTCGTGTCACCAGGCAGAGAATTACGGACTGCGCTGGCCTTCGGAGGCAAGACTAATAATGCCGCGCGGCAGAGGGGGATTTGGGGGCCCGCTTGTTTATCGAGGGCCGGCCAGGCAGCCGCGGCGCGAGGCCGCGCGGGCGGAGGTGGAAGAGGTCAGCGCTGACGCCCATAAATACGAACTTTAACTGAGTCTAGATGAGATGTGTCAGGACTGAGGGAAGATTTGCAGCATCTCTTCAGGAAGAAAAATATGGGCCGGGGGTGAAATATATTTTGTTGGGTCTTGAGTCTCAGGCAACTTTGTCCTTTCAGATGTAATTTTTTTATATCTATATGGAGAGAGACAGACAGAGAGATGTGCATACACATGCACACTTGCACACTCACATTGTGTCTGGTTTCTGTTTGGTTTATATACGTGTATTTTGCACGGCCTGGTTTATATAGGTGTTACTGCCATATGTACATATAAATATCGCCCACACAGGGGTGTGGTGACCTTTAGATCGGGATGAGCAGCCAGGAATGTTAAACAAATTGCCATGGTTTCAGCCCGAAGGCCAGGCTGGGCTGGGCGTGCGGTGGGTCCCTGTGGACGGTGGAGGGGCACGGTGGGGCTGTGGGGAGATGGGCCGATGCTGATCCCCTCCCCAGCACCTCCTCGCTGGGGGGATGGGGCAAACCACCCCCCCATCCATGGGCAAGCATCAAGGCAGGGGGACACACACCGAGAGCAGCCCCGTTCCCAGGGACCAAGGGGTTCCTGCGGGTCGCTGGCTCTGCCTGCTGGGCTGCTCCCCGCTTTTCGTTAGAGATCTCGGAGCCGTGATGAAGCCTATTTGCGGTCGGTTGCTTCTCTGCCGTTCGCATGCGTGGGTCATCTTGACCCCATCTCCTGGCCAACAGCCAGAGCCGTTTTGGCAGATTTAAAATCTCCTTCTGGTCGTGGACGCCGCGGCAATGTTTAGCATCCGATGCACTGGGGGAAATGTGACGGCTTTCCCTGCCCGCTGGCATCCCGGCTGGCCCGGCCCGGCCCTCGCTCCCGGGGCGCACACGCGGAGCCACGACGCTCCCGCAGCCTCGCAGCCGGCTGCCTGCGAGAGCCAGAAAAAACCAGCAGCTTGGGCCGCAGCAGCGTGCTCTGCCAGCCGGGAGGCACGATCCTGGCCCTGCCGCTCTGGTCTTGGTGGCTTTTTGCTTTAAGATGCCCATCGCAGTGGTATCTGGGCAGGGGGGATGGGGACCTGCATTGACCATTAACACCTTAGGCTTGTGTGGGGTTTCGATCGCGGGCGGCTGGCGGATGGTAATCCACTTTCTCACTTCTTGGTAGTCAAGGTGACGGGTCCTGCTCGCACCCGGTAATTGCCCCGGCTGCGGCTCGGGGTGCTGGTCTGTGCCGTGCACCTGCACGGGTGCTGCTGGGGCAAATCCTGCGCCAGGGATCTGGGCGGAGGCCCAGAGAGCATCCCTGGGGTGAAGGCAGGTCAGGGACATCCCAGCACGCCTCGTGCCCGTGGCTGGGTGGGGAGAGGCTGGGGGGGGGGGGGCTGATGTCTTGGGACCCGCTCAGGGCTTCCCAGCGAAGTGGGATCGCTGGTGGGCAGCTGCTTCACAGCGCTGCCGAGATGCTCGAGGGCAGCCAGCGGGTACCTGAGGTGGGGGCTGGCCTGGACCAGCCGTGCAGGGACCAGCGAGCGCAACGGGGGCTACACCGTCCCCATGGGGGTTTGGCTTCGGGATGCTGAGGCCCTGGGGTGGCCTGGGTGTATTTTGGGGAGCCCCAATGCTCCCAGGGGCTTCCTTGCCTCGTGCCTATGAACCCACAGCAAGGGTTGCAGGAGGTTTAAAATTACATCTGCGTGTGGGTCCTGCAGCTCTGCACCCCTCTGCACACCCTCCTCCCCTCTGGCCCTTGCTCCCAGCCCATTTGCTGCAGGGAAATGCATTTTTCTGTGGGTGGCAGATGTTCAGCAGCAAGACGCTTTTGGCGGCCGGACAGAGGGAGAATGTTCTCCCTGTGTGGGGAGGGTTTCGCTGCCACATTTTGTGAATGGGTTAAATGCTTGCTTTAAGAGGAAAAAAAAAAAAAAAAATTATTCTTAAAGACAGCTTGCATCAGGTCCTTGATAAAGAACTCTGTTGAAAAGCCTTGACATTAAAAGAGGAAGATCCTTTGCTTAACTTTTAAAGGCGAGAGTGCGTGCGTGCCGCCTCGCCGGGAGGATTGATTGCCTCTGAGTGGCTGTCCATTAGCAGCCCCCTCCTCCGGGGAGGCCAGGCTGGCGCTGGGCACAGGGGGGGCAACCTCCAGCCCTGACCCCCCCCGGCTGCAGCAGAGCCCCACTGACGGAGCAGGGCTGTGGGGGGGATGCCCGCTGCCACCCCATCCAGGGCACAGGGACACCCAGCTTGGAGCTGGGGCACGGGCAGGGCTGGGGTCCCTGGAGATGCCCCCCAGCCCTGCCAGGCCCCCAGAGCCCCCAGCCCGCCCCGTCTCATTTCCCAACCACGTCCCCCCATCACCACGGCTGCGTGGCTCCGGTGCACCGTGGTGCTCCCTGTGTGCTGGCAGGGGAGCAGCCACCCAGGGCGAAACGTGCTGCCGGCAGGATGCAGGGAGGTGCTCTGCCAAGGAGCTGAACCCACCTGCAGAGGTTGGGAGAAGCTGATTAGTAATTTTTAAAGGAAGACGATTTCAAAACTGTTGAAATGCTTCCTATTGGCAAAGCTGAATTTTTAAAAACCATTCTCAGGGCTAAGCTTTCAGTCTGTCCCTTCCGGAGCTCATCCCACTCAGGAATGAGGCACAGGAAGGAGCTTCCAAAACAACGCCGCGACTCAGCTGGTGCGGAGGAGCTCAGCACCGGCCGGGAGCGTGCGGCTGGGCTGGCAGCGTGCTGCCGCCCCGGGAGCCCAGCTCCCTGCGAGGGCTGGCCGCGGTTCCAGCCAGCCAAGAGGTCAGCACGACTGCAAAAAAAATCTCCATTTTGTTTTGATGCCGAATGAGCTTTTTTCCCCAGTTCTTTGTTCGGCAGCTGAACAGAAACCTCACGGCCTGTGCTGCCGGGCCGTGTACTGTGGCTCCCTCGCCAGTTTGGGCGATGTGGCAGCCCCTCTGCACCTCGCTGCAGGCAGGTTTCGTGCCGTCGGGCAGGAGCGGGCCCTGGCCGCCGGCGCTGCCTCCTGCACCGCAGCTCCCTCCCCGCGCCGCTGCGTGTCCGGCTCCGACCACCCACCGCACTTGAGAAACAAATCCCGGTGGCTCACGGGGAGTGTTGGGCTCCGAGACCATAAAGCTCTTTCTCATCTGACTTCTATTCCTTTCGCAATCTCCCAGCACTGGTTTATTGCAGCCTCTTCAGCAAAATGAGGGTATTATCCAGTCCTGTGATACTGCATCTGTCTTCCTTCTATTAAAGGCAGCGAGCACAATGGCACTGCAGAGCTTTTCTACTGGCGCTGAATTTGCTCTGCAGGGAAGTATTACTGATAACCCCTGGCCCTTTCCCTACACCAGCCTTGCCGGGGCGGGGGGCTCTGGGTAGGTCGGGGGTTCAGCTCTTTGCAGAAAGGAGCTGGGGTCCCACAGAGAGCAGTGCCGAGGGCACGAAGCCCACGGTGGTTCTCGGCGGGGCGGCGGGGAAGGCAGCGGCGTGCCTCCTGCCTGCTCCCCGAGCTGGGACGGCAGCGTGCCCCGTGTCCCGCCGTGACCCCGGGCACAGGGCTGGGCTCTTTGATTTGCCAAACGTGGCCGTTGGCTCTGGCAGCCCGTCCTGCCCGTCTCTGGCCCTGCCTGCAGCCCGCGAGAGCCTGGCAGGTCCTTGCGGTCTGCGTCCTGGGTTGAGCGTCTCACCCGAGGCAATGGCAGGCGTTTCTTTGAAAGCGTGGCGGTGGGCGCTTAGACCTGCGCCGGCACGTCCACACCAGCACACGTGCCAGTGTGCACGTGATCACACGTGTGTTGATGCGTGGGCAGGGCCCGGCCGGGCAGCTGCAGGGCGCAGCGATGCCCTGGAGCCGGCAGCTCCCCCACAGCCGTGCTGTGCCACCGCAGCTCTGTGCCCCCCTGCCCAGACCCACCATCCCGGGCAGGGAGGCGAGGATGGATACTGCCTCCTTTCATTTTAAAGTATCCAGAGGGGCTGCCTGGACACACAGGGCCTTTGTGCAGCAGCTGCGTGTTCCCTCCCACCCCGGGACGCGGCCAGCAGTCATTTTGTTAAAGATTTGTGTGCCGTTTGGGGAGGTTGTGTCTGGTGGGGGAAAACCCGTGCTGATAAGAGCCAGCGAGTGTCACCAAAACACGCGGAGCTGCTTCAAAGGCAGCTCTGCACGGCCGCCCGGCCCGTCTCCTCTCCTCTCCTCCAGTCTGGGGTCCCCTGTGCTGGGGGTGCAGCTCCAGCTCTCCCTGCCCACCCGAGGGGACCCCGCTGCCTCCATCTGTGGGGTGCAGGGTCGGTGCTGTGAGAGGGCAGTGCAGGGCGTGCGTGGGGCGTGAGCCTGCAGGTGTGACCTGGCCGTGGGGCGCTGGGGGTTGCAGTTCTCCCTATAGTCACTGACCAGCGCTGCGGGCATCAGGCTTGCCATCCTCTCCTCCCACCCAGCGTGGAGGGATAGCTGGAGGAGATGCATGGGATACCGGCAGTGAAATGAAGTGGGGTGCAACGTCCAGCCCAGTTACACACCAGCAGGAGAAGGCATGGGAACCAGGAGTCAGATCAGTGCTTTGCAATTAATGCTTTATTAATCGGATGCAGCATTTCCTTGATAGGAGCTTGTTCACGGTCAGACTGCAGTTTCCACATGTAGACATGTGTGTGAGACTTTGGGAAATGCTCTGCAAGCAGCGGGGGTGAGGAGGGTTCCAGGTACTTTAGAAAAAAAGAAATGGGGCTTTTCCCAGGCTGCAAAGGTCAGGGACAAAGTTCTGGAGGACAAAATCTCGTCCCATCTGGAGGAGCCGGATTGCCCAGGGAGGTGGGTGATGCCCCCCACGATGGGCTGGCAAGCAAACGCATGCAGAAAGCAGACCTGGGACTGGGCAAGTCTCTGTAGATCAGGTCACCTGGGGCCCTCACGGGGAGGTGGGAGTTTGTCACGTCGCCAACACATCATGTTGATGCCGAATCCGTGCCAAGGCATTGCTCATCCTGGTGGCAGAAGGCCTCATCCACTCTCTGCTTCATGTAACAGCACCAATGACTGGACTTGCTGCTCTACTTCTGGGCGCTTGAGCAGTGAGAAGAGGTGTTTGTTTTTTTTTTCACACTGATGCCAGTCTGCTAGAAAACCCCTTTCTGTTTTGCTCAGGGTGAGACACAGATGGGTGCGAGTCCTGCCCAGGTCCAACGCTAAGGCGGCAACGTGCCGCAGCGGCTGACGGTGTGAGCTTGAGCCGGTGCTGCCGCAGGGCTGGAGCGTGGCGCTGACCCTCGGATGCAAAGCTGGGGGGCCGGGAGCGGTGCAGGGACCGGGGCAGCCCTGTCCCCTCCTGCCAGCCGGGAACAAGCTCGTACAGATGCAGCCCGGGGTGCCCCCCCGGCCATGCCCCGGCGCGATGGGTGTCAGCGGCACGGCTCTGGGTGTCTTTCAGGTGGGCGACCAGATGAAGCTGCTGCAGAACTGCTGGAGCGAGCTGCTGGTGTTTGACCACGTCTACCGGCAGCTGCAGCACGGCAAGGAGCACAGCGTGCTGCTCGTCACCGGCCAGGAGGTGAGCGGGGACCGCGGCGGCTGCTGCGGAGGTGGGGGCCGGGTGGTGGGGCTGGCGCAGGGCAGGGGGGGGAACAGGTTTTTGCTGTGCTATGGGACTGCTTGTGCAGAAGGTCTTGTCCCACTGCATCCCATCCCGTCACGTTCTGTCCCATCCCATGCCATCCCATCCAGCTCCTGGTTCTGGAGAAGCAGAAGTGGGGTGTGAGAAGGGGCCCCTTCCCTCCCCCAGGGGTGGTTTTTGGAGATGTGGGTGCCTGTGATGCCAGCACCCTGCAAAGAGCCCCTCTGCTTTAAGTGGTGCTGGAGAAACGGGGTTCTCATTTCACCCCTCAGCCTTTGCTTTAACACCCCCTGATTCTCAGTCAGGGCTCTGAGCTGGTGCCCGGCTCCTGCCCTGCGTGGGGTCCCCTGCAGCGGGTTCGGGGGGTGCTGGGGCCCCCATGGCTGATGCCGTCCCCGTCCCCGTCCCCGCAGGTGGACATGTCGACCATCGCAGCCCAGGCCGGCTCCATCCTGCACACGCTGGTGCTGCGGGCGCAGGAGCTCGTCCTGCACTTGCACTCGCTCCAGGTGGATCGGCAGGAATTCGTCTGCCTCAAGTTCCTCATCCTCTTCAGCCTCGGTGAGTGCCGCCGCGGCAGGCACCGGGGATGGGGGGCGGCCACTCTCGGGGGGGTCACGGCCGTGCTCCCGCGGGGTCTCGGCGGGTGGGAGCGCAGCAGGAGGGAGCACACGCAGCCCGTGGGTTCATGCCGGCTGCTGCGCCGATGGGTGACGAAGGGGTTTTTAATGCGGAGCCGGGAGCGAGGGCCAGGACCTGTCGTTGCCCCAGCTGAGCTGGGGGTCCGAAACGGCTCCCGCTGCGGGGCCGGGCTCTGCCTGCAGTCACGGAGGACAATACCAGCCCGCCAGCCAAGCGGGGCCTGGGGTGGTCACCCACCCCATCACCCCGGGCAGGGAAGCAGCCGGCTGATACGGCTGCGGTAAATCAGGCGCGTTGGGGGGGCTGGGCCTATCTCCGGTATCTGCGTCCCAGCGCGGCGGCGGGCAGGGCTGGCGGTGGCGCTTGAGGGGGCTCAGCCCCGGGGCCGTGCGCGGGCTGCAGCGGCGGCTTCACACGGGCCCGCCGCATGTAGACAAAATAGACGGGAGCCGCGGGCACTGCTGCCAGAGCCCGCAGCGTCCCTGGGGCTGCACCACCTCTCTGCTCCTGCTCCTGCTCCTGCTCCGGCTCCTGCTCCTGCTCCTGCCCCGATCTTGCCCTACTCCTGCTCCTTCCCCTGCTCCTGCTCCTGCTCCTGCCCCGATCCTGCCGTGATCCTGTTCCTGCTCCTGCTCCTGCTCCTGCTCCTGCCCCGATCCTGCCATGACCCTGCTCCTGCTCCTGCTCCTGCTCCTGCCCCAATCCTGCCATGATCCTGCTCCTGCTCCTGCTCCTGCCCCGATCCTGCCCTACTCCTGCCCCTGCTCCTGCCCCTGATGCTCCTGCTTCTGCTCCTCCTCCTCCTTCTCCTGCCCTGCTCCTGCCATGATCCTGCTCCTGCTCCTGCTCTGATCCTGCCCTACTCCTGCCCCTGCTCCTCCTCCTGCTCCTCTTCCTCCTCCTCCTGCCCTGCTCCTGCTCCTCCTCCTCCTCCTCCTTCCCTGCCCCTGCCCTGCTTTTACTCCTGCTCCTGCCCCGATCCTGCCATGGTTCTCCCCCAATTCTGCTCCTGCCCTGCTCCTGCCCCATTCCCACCCTGACCACGCTGCTGCCCCTGTGGGGAGCGTCTTCTCGTCCACCTTGGCCGGGGATGAGCCTCTTTTCCCCCACAGGCATCGCCCCGAGGCAGGGCTGCCCATCAGAGTCCCACCGGAGTCATCTCAGCCCTTGGTGTGGCTGTGGGTGGTGCTGAGCACCACAGGGACCCCAGGGTGCCCAGCTGCCTTCATTACTGGTACTGACACATTTCCCAGCGCTGTCGGGGCGGGAGATCTCACCTCCCGGCACACGGGTGGTGGCAGGGCCTGCGAGGGGCTCAGCTGGCTGCCACACTCCCGGCTCGCACCTTTGCCACCCCGGGTGCTTCACTTCCCACACCTCGGCGGCTGCTGCGAATTACAAAAAACCTGCACTGGGCAGGAACCGACATTTCCCCAGGGAAACCTGTGCTTGGGTCCCTGCTGAAGCCGGGTGCTGGTGCTGAGCCAGGACGGTGAGCCCAGCTTGGGGCAGCCTTGTCCCCACTCCCATCCCTGCCCCATCCCCATCACAACCCATCCCTGACCCTGTGCCCGTCCCTGTCCCAGCGCCTCAGTCTGGGCTTTCACTTCTGAATCCGTGGGGGCTCACTGGGGGGGGGGGTCCTGCCAGTGGCTCTGTGCCTCACCACCCTGCAGCAGGCCCTGAGCTGCGCTCTGCGCCGTACGGACCCTGCTGTGTGTTTTTGTAGTTTGTGCTTGAGGGAGAGTTTGTGTCACTGTATGTCACCGTGGCCCAGGAGCCAGCCTGCTCCAGGGGCAGCACCGCCACTGGGGTAGTGGGTTAAGTGGGAGCACTGACACGGTGCAGGCAGTGGGAATCCACTCGCCCGCCCCAGAGGCTGGGTCAGGGCCGGTAGGTCTGCGGGAAACCCTGGTTTTGAGTGGGTTTGCTGTGGACGTGTCCCTGGCAGCAGGCAGCTCCAGCAGCTGCAGGCACCCAAGGGGCCTGGGCAGGGTGGGTGTCTCAGGGCACGGGAGCTGTGCTGCCATCCCGTCCTGCACTTGCAGCAGCTCTGCCTGCAGCTTTCTTTCCCTCTAGAGCTGTTTTGAAATCCAGAGAAATTAGATGCGATAATTTGCTGTGATAAGGTGTGGCACAAACAGTCCCCCGTCCCCCCCCCCCCGCTGCAAAATAAAGGAGCCAGAGGAGCTTGTGCCCAGAGCTGGAACCTTCCCCGGCCGCTGCCCTGCAGGCTCAGCACCGGGACGGCCGGTCCCCCCACGCTGCCACACGTACCCCTGCTGTCCCCCAGCTCGGCACAGCTCGGCTCGGCACGGCACAGCTCGGCTCGGCACGGCACGGCTCGGCACGGCACGGCACGGCACAGCTCGGCACGGCTCGGCACGGCACGGCACACAAGCCGGAGCAGCGTCCTCCCGGAGTGCAGCCAGCACCGGCGGCCGATGCTGCTGTGCCAGTCGTGGCTGCGGTTCTGCTTCCCTGGAGCAGAGCCTTTCAGGGAGGGCGTGGAATCAAATAGCTGTATTTTCCCATATATCATTTTGCCCCAAATCCAACTTTTTCTCTCCATATTGCAGAGCTCACTTGGAGTAATTTGCCCTTCGCAGGCTCAGCTGTAGAGGATGGGATTGTGTATTATGTGCAGGATGTAATTGCCTTTAACAAGAGAATTTCCACATTTACCACTCTGTCACAGCACAGTCAAAGCCAAGCCCCACTCACAAGAGCTGCCATTTGAGTTCTAAATAGATTTCTCTCCTGAGCAGGTAAAGAGATTTAATTAAAATTAGGGCTTCTCAAAATAGCAATATTTATGAGGACGGCACAGGTTAGCTTTGTTCTACAGAAGGGCTTAATAGAGCCTTAATGGATTGACCTATCATTCGATTTCATGACTTACATTCATGAAGCAGCTACTCTTGGGGAGGGGAGGAAGAGAGGCTTTTATAGCCCACATTCCCTTAAGCGTTTGCAATTTATCAGCAGCTTCTCCCAAACAAAAGGAGCTGTGAATAGGAAGAACACTTGAGGGCATAGAAATAATCCCAGGCATATCTGTATGTGTGATGGGAGGCTTTGTCACAGGACAGTCTTTGCAACTGCTGCAGTGTCTCTAAATGAAGTGAGTCAATGTTATTTGGACAACATTCTTTATTCCTTGCAGGAATGAAAAGATTATTCAAATATTCAATTAAACAGTGAATAGGGTCTTTCAGAGAACCAGGTGAGTTCATGGAGTAGAACTAGCTATTGTTGAGCCAACTCAGGGGATAGATTTGACATTTATCAATATAACTTCTTTTTTTTTTAATGACATGCACAATAACCTTATGCAGATAAAGAGATTTCATAACAACAAGCCGGGTAGAAGGGAGATGGCCACAATGGGAGCAAATGTGCCGCAGGAGTGAAAAGGGAAGGGTGATCTGATAAAGTGCATCTTGGCACGACCTGCGGCGCTTTGTGCCTGCCCCACACAGCACCCGGCCAGGCCGTGGGCATGGCTGGGGGCTCTGTGTCCCCAGGGACCCCCCAGCCCCCCCGGGCTGTGCCTCCACTCCCGGGGCTCTGCCTGAGTGTGGGCTGGGGGCTCCCAGCTTTGCTGGGCTGGAGCAGCTCTGGGTGCATGACCCCCACCCCAAGGGAGCCCTGCGGGGCCAGGTAGCCGGGGGGGGGGTGGGGCATGGGCACCCCCACCCAGTGGCATGAGGGTCCCGTCTGCTCCTTTCTGCTCAGGCACCTCCATCACCAGCACTGCGCTTTGCCCTCCTGGAGCTGCTCAGCCTCTGGGTACAGCCACGTTCAGCTCCCTGCTTTTTGGGGGTGGGGGGGATGAAAATCAGAAATAACCCCCCCAAACTCCCAGCTGCCTGCGCCAGAACCTGTGCCCGGATTTCCCTGTTGCCAGGCCAGGGTGGGATGTGTCCGGGCTGCCAGCACAGACCTGAATTTGGCCGCGCGTCGGCGGCTGCTGGCTGCGGGCAGCAGAGCCGGCAGCGCCGTTACCGAGCCAGCGGGGCTGGGTGCCTCCGTGCCATACAGTACATCTATTAAATCCGCTTGCCCCAAACGGGCTCGGCGCCGGGGTTTGCAGCAAGCTCTCTCGCGGGCGGGCGCCGAGGGCCCATTGCCGTGCGTAGCTGCAGCCGGCTGGCGGGGCACCGCACAGCACCACTTCCCGAGAGCCCCTGAAACCTGCACGTGGGGCTGGTTTAACAACGCGTTGCCGGCGTTAAAAAATCAGTGCTTCCTCCACCGAGCACTCGGGGCAACCTGAGCACCAAGGCAGCATCCTTGGAGGGCAAACCCCAGCTCAGGCTGCCCCTACAGCCTTGAGAAACCCCGACCCAGCAGCCCGGGCTGTCCCTGCAGTCACCCTCCTGCCGGGGCTACAGAGCGGTGGTCCCCAGGGACAATCTCTGCCCCAGCTCCTGCAGTGCTGCCATCGGGGCTGCAGTGGCCTCTCGGCTGCCAGACCCTGCCTGCAGCGTGACTGCGGGCAGCAGAGCTGGCAGCGGGGTTACGGGGAGCTGCTGCGACCCTGGCGAGGCGCAGGGGATTAGGGTTTCCAGGCTGGTGATCCTGGTTGCCACATTGGAAAGACCAGGTTTACAGGGGAATTAATTCAGCCGCTTCCTCGACCTTCAGGAATTAAAGAGGGCTGATGGCAGCAGCTCCCTGTGCGTGGGTGCAGCCGGTGACATGTTTTGGCTTTGCAGCTTCCTGGGCAGCGAGGGCAGGGGGGCACCAGCCCTCCCGGTGCCGCAGGGTTTGGGCATCCGTCTTCGGCATCAGGGGAGACCTGGGAGGCAGGGCAGGGATGGGGAGCCCGTGGCTGGGCAGGGACAGGGCACAGGACCCCCTCCCCGCGCTGTGTTTTTGTGCACAGGGGACATTGACACCAGAGTGTGGGTCCCTCCTGGCACACCCGGTGCAGCACGGCACGGGGCAGACACGAGGGTTTGGCACGGTTTCACCATCATCTTCTTCCCTTGCAGACGTGAAGTACCTGGAGAACCACACGCTGGCTAAGGACGCTCAGGAGAAGGCCAACGCGGCGCTGCTGGAGTACACGGTGTGCCACTACCCCCACTCCACGGACAAGTTTCGCCAGCTGCTGCTGCGGCTGGCGGAGGTCCGGGCGCTGAGCATGCAGGCGGAGGAGTACCTCTACCACAAGCACCTGAGCGGGGAGGTGCCCTGCAACAACCTCCTCATCGAGATGCTGCACGCCAAGCGGACTTGAGCACGGCCGCCAGCACGGACCCGGCGGAGCCCCGGCGCTGCCAGCAGCGTGCCACGGGCAGGACGCGCGCCTGGGGCTGGGGGGCCAGCGCCGCCTCTCCACCCCGCCTTTCTCAGTGATGCTATTTAACCTGTACTATTGGAAAACTCCCAGATGGTTTATTTTAATACACAATAAGGACGGTTGATGGCTGCGGGGCCGTGGGCTCGGCTGCTGGACTGCCCCACCAGCAGCATTGCCCCGCGGCTCCTCGGCACACGAGGTGCCTGACCGGTTGCCTGCCTGACCCGGCTCTGCAGCATGAAGGAAAGGTAAAGCCTGGCCCAGCTTTTCTCCTATTTATGCTCCTCTCCTGCTGTCCCTACCAGCCGTTTCCCCTCTGCCGCCATCCCTCGCCCAACCCTGCCCCATGTCTCAGGGCCCCTCGTGCACAGGGCAGGGGAGAGGTGAGGTGAACCCCCACCCGAGGTTGTGGTTTCGTAGCGGTCGGGGTGTCCCCAGGCACTGGGACGGAGGCAGAGGATTTCTGCAGGAGCTGGGGCTGGAGATGTCAGCCCCGTGTAACTGCTGCTTGCTCAGCATCCCGCAGCTGCCCCGTCCAAGTGAGGGCAGGCAGGGACGGGCAGTGCCAAGCCCTCAGCTGACATTTGTTTTCTGAGCACTTGCCGGTGCTGGAGGCAGCAGCCATGGCTTTGCAGCCCGTGGCAGCCACGATGCCTGGAGCCCACAGGCATCCACGGCCAGCATGTCTCTGGGATGTCAAAGCTTTGCTGCTGAGGCTCTAAGAGATTTGGTACCGGGAGCAGGGGACCAGCTTCAGGACGCTTTGGGCCCGTGGCCCTGCTGCTGCACCCTCGGTGCCAGCACAACATCCCCACGGCTGGAAAGCTTTGCAGGTCACAGTGCCTGGGTGGTGTCAGCACGGCGAACTGAGCTGGTTCCCGAAGCGCAAGGACAGGGTGGCCCCGGGATGGTGTCCCCGGGCAGCGCAGGTCCTGCCTCGCTCCAGCCCTCAGCCGTGTCCAGGCAGTGCCTGGAGAACAGCCAAGGGGCAGGACGGGTTGGGGACAGACCTTGTCCCCTTCTTGTCCCCAGGAGAAGGTGGCAGAGCAGCTGGGCAGGAGGGAGCTGCAGGCTCCAGCTCAGGTGCTGGTCCAGGCTGCAAACAGCCCAGCACTGCTCCTGCACCGGCACATGCCTGGGGGATCAGGGGAGCTGGGGGGCCCTGCAGCCCCCTCCTGCATTTACCTGCCCAAGCGGGTGGGTAAGGAGTATTAAGAATTGGCCTGCGCTTCGTGCTGGGCTGGGCTGAGCCCCCAGAACTCCCCAGCGCACTCTGCTGTGGCCCCAGGAGACAGAAAATGTTGTGCTGAAGCAAAGAGCCATCGGTTCCTCTCCCAGCGCAGGCCAGGGGCTCACAGACACGACTGGGCAGCGCTGGGGGGGCTGCAGCCCCCTCAGCTGGGACATGCTGGACTCTCTCTGCTGCTTTCTTTCGGACTCAGCCATGCTGTTCTCTCCCCCCGCCCTGCCGCCGGGCAGCCCAGCATGTCCCCCCCATCCCAGTCGGGCCCCCCCGGCGCTGCTGGGGCTCCTCCAGCACGGCTGGGGTCGGTTCAGGTTTGTTTTCCACGGCGGGCGTTCGCTCCTCATTTCCAGGGGGCTGTCGTCCGCCGCGGCTCTGCGCAGAGCCGGTGCCTTGAGGAGCTGCAGACGCTGTGCCCGGAGCCGCGCGGTTTGTGGAAGCTTGTTAGATGCAGAAGAGCATGTTTGTCTCTGCTTTTCAACATGTTTGTGCATTTTTCCTCCTGACGTCTGTGGTTCAGTTTCACCTTCTTCTTTTTGTGAACTTAAAGAACTGAAGAAAATGGCTTGGGAGGTAAAAGATGTTTTATTTTCAGACAATGAAAAGTGTCCTTAAGTGTCTCTCTCTCTCTGTCTCTGTCTCACATCCTTTTCTCCCTTTCATCCCTCCCCTTCCCCACTCCCCACCCTTCCTTCCCAGGCGGGAGGTTACCAGCTTCCTTGTCAGGAGCAAACCACTGTAATAAATTTTGCAGTTCATTTAAAAAGGCAGATTTTGTCTTTTTTGACTGTCTTTCTAACCCTCCCTGTTGGTGCCACCCCATGCTCCTGGCTTCCCACGGGCAGGTGGGGTGTCTTGCTGGGCTTGGCCCCGGCACGCACTGGGTGCTCTCCTGGAACGCCGTGGGCCTTCGGTGGGACCGGGACGCTACGGCTGCCGGTCGCTGCTGTGGTGTGGTTGAAGGCATCGGTGACTCAGGATCTGGTTCAAAGTGCTGCTGGGAATTGCCATAGCGACTCCGAGTGTGTTTTTCAAGTGAGCTCACGAATGACAACATTTATGGGCAATTAGCTCCAACTTGGGATTTTTCATGTAGCCCCCGGTGGTCACTGTGGCAGAGAGCCCCCGGCGTGCCACGCACCGTGGCGGGGAGCAAACCCACAGCAAAGCCCGGAGCTTGCTGCCCTGTCTGTAAGTCTGTCAGTGCTGGGAAGTGCCCCACATCCCAGCTCTCCTCGACCGCAGCAGCTGGAGATGCTGCTTGGCCGACTCCGCTAACCGGAGCGACGGGCTGCGCTCACTCCCCGCTCTCCTGACCAGCACAGGGCTGCTCTAGGGCCGCAGTTCCCAACCACACGTAAATACCTGCTGGCCAGCTCCTGCTGTGCCGAGACCAGGGACCGCAGCGCAACGCCGGGGACGGCGCACGGGAGCGCGCGGCGCCCTGGTCCCTGCACCGCGGCCAAACCGCCCGCCGCTGCCTTCAGCCGCGCAAAGCCAGGGCACGCTGCCGCGCCCGAACGCCAGCCCACTCCCATGGAAACACTGCAACAAGGAGAGGAGGTGGCTTTTAAATTCAGCATTTACTGTCATCATAATCAGCAAAAGAACCAACACGCTTTACGTGCTCTAAATGCTAGGGAGGTAACAGGGGAACCAGTCGGATGCAAAGAATGGAGGGAGAGAAACCATAACCCCTGTGGCCAGGGGCCACGCCAGCCCGGCGGGAGCCCTGGGAGGAGCAGGAGGAGGATTCTTGTCCTAAACAGCAGAAGATGCTATTGAAGTCAGCTGGTTTAGAAAAGACTTGAAGCCAGCTGCTGTCTTCCTTGGTGCATGTGCTTCCCAGGAGGCTCATCCCCAGCCCTGCCCCGGCAGCGCGGCGCGGCGGGGCCGGGGACAGCAGCTGTCCTCGCCAGCACGGCACCGCGGGCACGCACCCGGGCACGGCTGCTGCGGCAAAGCGGGGCTTGCTCCCCTGCCCCCTGCTGCAGGTCCCCAAGCTAAACAAGCGCTGCTGGCAGCCACAGCACCCAGCCACAACCCCCCGCTGCCGGCGGTGCCGCGGGGCGGCTGGCGGCCGCGCTGCGCCAGGTCAAGCTCGGCTACCCCGGCAAAGGCTGCCCGAGCCACGGGGGCCCCCGGGCCAGCAGGCAGGCCGGGCAGGAGTCACGACCAGTCCCTGCCTGTTGGTTGCCCGCCCCTGGGGAGGAGCGGGGCAATCTCCAGCAAGAGATGAAGCCACCCCAGTCCTGCCTTGGTTTTGTCCGCACATGCTGCTAGGAAGAAGCGCAGGGCTAACAGCTCGGCCTGGGCTGGGACAGCCCTCCCCACGGAAGCCAGCTCCCCCGACCTGCCGTCCTCCCGGCTGTTGGAAGAGCCTCAGCGTTGTGGGCCCATCACCCAGAAACTTCTCAGAAACCTAAAGCAAAAGAGAGATGGTCTCAGCTGTGTCGGCAGGGAGGGGAGGGCAGGGGTCCCTCCTGGGGCAGCGGGTACACGCTGGGAGGAAGCACGGCCCAAACCTGCCACAGGACAGCGCGTGTGGGATGGAGCATGGCCAGCCGTGCCCATCGCCTGCTGCCTCAGGGGTCTCTGAAAGAAAGTTCTTACAGCAGGGAGCCAAAGCAGCCGCTGTGCACGGGGTTGGGGCTGTAAGGAGAAACCTCTCCTCCCCCCTGCTCAGGAATTAGCCCACTGTGCACACCGCCAAGCTCCGAGCTGAAGAATGAGGTTTAAATGGGATTTAATGAAAATACCAGTGCTACTGTGGCAGAGAGCACTGATGTCGCATGGGCTGGACCTCCTTCCATCGGGGCATAAAATTCCCTCTGCCTGTCGGGAAGGACCGTGGCACGGATGGCAGCGGCGATCCCACCGCAGGGCGGCCCGGCGGGGTCGGCGTGGGAAGGATCTGCATTTCGCCAACTCATGTGCTTTACTGGGTTTGAATCCCAAAGACTCATAATTTCCTTATTATTTTAAACCCAATCTTATTTAACGCGGTATGGTGAGAGTTGCAGAATTACTCAATATTGATCAGAGAAAGGCTGGGCCGTGGAGACAAGATCCATGTTGCTATGTGTGGCTTAGCAACATATAAATGTATTCAAACAGAATAATGAAATTATCGTGGGGAAACAAAGCAGCCATCACTTGAAGAGCTGGAGGATGTGGAGGCCTCTTGGAGCTCTTGTTTGCCAAGACAAGGAAGACGGTACTTATTGTTTGTGCAAATATGTGAACCCCCCCCCAGCCATCCCCTGCTTACATAAAGGGTGTAATGAATCTGGGCAGTGTGCTCGCTGCAACACACAGCTTTGTACAGCTGGGCTGGAGCTCATTACTGCAGAAACGTGCGGCCCCTCCGAGTGCATTGAGTCCTTGGAGGGGGGGGGGGGGAGCCCTAATATTGGGGGTGGGGAGGGAGCCTACGCCTGCCTCCCGGCCACAGCCACGCTGCAAAACTCCTCGTTTCTGTGATTCTGAAACTGGCCTGGGGTTTACCTGGATTTTATCCGCCCTCATCCTCACACGTGTTAACGCACCGCTGGGAGCCCATCCCACCCCCCACCCCCCCCAGACCCACAGGCCACCTCTTGCCCCTGGAGCCGGCGTGATGCCCACTGCTCTCACAAGAGCAAGGCTGAGGCGCTGGCACAGACAGGAGGTGGATCCCACCCCAGATCCAGCCCAGCTTTCCTGGGGGACTCTGAGCAAATCGCTTAAGCCCTGAGTCTCCCACCGGTGCCCAGGGCCCCTCCTGCCCACCAGCTCTACCCGGACTGCGGGGCGGGTGGGCTCCTCCTGGGTCTCTGTGTGAGCTCCTGCAAGCCTGCTGCTAGTACATCACAATTTTCGTTAGAGCTGGCTAGAAATTTTCAGATAAAGGTACTTGGAGCGAAATATGTCTCTTTTCATTAAACTACTTGGGAGAAATCTAATAGGAGAGGGGAAGCCGTGTCTGCGTTGAAATGATTTGCCTCTTGCTCATCATCACGCACAGGTTTATGGTTTGCCGCCCCTGGCAGCTGCTATCCCCGAGAGCTACCCAGCATTTTGCTCTGTTGAACAAGCTGTGAAGATGGGAACCTGTGCACCACTGAGCTGCCCTGGGCTCTTCCAGGCATTACTACAGCTGGGCATTGCTGCCTTTTATTCCTTTTTTTCTTCTAATGGCTGGAAGCACTTGTCTTTGAGCCCAGCGCCTCGGAGCAGCGTAGCGTGGCCGGCTCCAGCGCTGTGCCGCACGCCGGCTTGCACATCCACAAGTGTGCAGAGGAGTGCTCTTCTGGTTCAAGGAGATCTTCTCGTTCACCCCAGGCTGAAGGAGTGCCCAACCGAGGGCTCCCTCGCTCCGGGGCGCGCGAGGAGCCGCTCTCGGTGCTAGCAGAGAGGGTGGCCGTGCACAGCCCTGCCCTGCACCCACCAGCCGCTGCCACGGCCGTCGTGCACGAGGGGACAGGCACCGAGCCCAGCTCGGCCTCCCCACCGCCCCTGGGCAGACCCAGGCTTGTAAAAATATACTGAGAGCTTACCTGAGAAAACAAAACCAAACTAAACAACCCGCCTCTTTGCACAGCTGGCGTTTAATTACACATGTGGCTAGATTAAAATACGCAGGAGCAGGTGAGGGCGGGATTGGGGGAGGTGTAGGTGTTGCTGCCTCTGAGACCCGGCTCCTGCGCCTGAAATGCCGCAGCACATTCACTCCCGGGTGCCACCGTTTCTGCCTTGCTCATGTGTCCACTGTGGGGAGGAAAGCTGCAATGCTTCTGGGTGGCATCGTCTCGAAAATAGTCTAAGCATGCCCTGCTTAGATGCTTAATGTGGAGCAAAATCAGAAACCTGCTAATGCACTGCTTCCTTTGACAAAAGAAAATGTAACAATGCAGAAAAAAGAATATCAATCCACCCCCGGTGCTGCTTCGCTGCACTGTCTGCTTGAGTGACCCCATCCAGAGACTGCACTGAGAGTGCTGGCAGTACTCGGTAAACAAAATTAAATTAAATACGCTACACCTGTGCCTGGAGGAGCTGCTGACTTGCCCAACGGCAGGCAGGGAAGTTGGGGAGGGAGCAGGGAGCTGTGGCTGGCCGGCCTCACCCCAGAACAGGAGTTGAGCAGAGGTCCGGGGCTTAGGAGGGATTTCTGGTTTTAATTCTACCCACCTCCATGGTGACATTGGCCTTTCTACAGCCTGAAACAGAAGAAGCTAAATGGCTGCTCTTAAGCCCGTAAATCCAGCCCTGTCTGAACACCCCACCTTCCCCGGCTTCCCTTCTTTGGGAGCAAGGCACTTCTAACACCCGCCAGTGCTTTCTGCAGCAGCTGCTGGTGTGCAATACCCCGTGGCCGCAAAGAGCTGTTGCCACCCCTGAAAGCAGCCCAGGTCTCGCCAAGCAGCGAGGCGTGCCGGTCCCCACTGCGCCCCGGGGGCCGGCCGCGCAGGGGTGCCGCTGCTGCCGGCCGAGGGCTGCGACCTGCAGCCCCGCCGCTGCGGAGGGGCCCCGGGAGCAAGAAAAGGTGCAAGGATGTGGGAGAAACCAGGTGGGTGCCCCGAGACGGGCACCCTCGGCTGAGCTCCCCACTGTGCCTGGGCTGAGCCACCAGTGCGGCCGTGGAGAGGCAGCGCAGGCAGCACCGGCAGCGCTTCATACCCCTCCTCTCCCTCATCGGTTCAGGGGGGACACGGATCTCCCAACAGCCTTGCCAGGACTGCACCCCCCAGGGCAGTTTGAAACTAAAACGCCTCCTGAAGCCTGAGCAAACATCGCCTGCCCTCTGGGCAGCACTCCACCACGCAACCACCGAAACCAGTATCAGCAGTAACAAAAAGCAAAGGAAATGATGTAGGCAAATGTTACCTGAGGATTTGAACGCTGTCAGCTCTACAGCCTGAAAGAGGGGAGAACATTTGTTAGCAGAAGGCACCTGCCTGATCGCTTTGCTGCTGGCTCCCCCCAGCACCCAGCTGCCACACCGCACTCTCCCTCCCACTGAGCCCCAGGCTGGGAACTGGAGCCTTCATCCCAGTCCCCGAGGGACGAGGGACGGGCACGCTGCCGAGCGCCCCTGGACACGGCCGCACCCCTCGGCAGGGAGCTGCCACCCCACGCCGCACGCCAGCCCCGGGGTGACCCAGCGGGCTGGACACCAGGCTGAAGACCACAGGAAAATCCAGGAGAAGAGGAGAGAGAACTTTCCGCCCCTGTGCTGTGGTGGAAAGAGCATGCACAAGCCCGCACCCTGCGCTGAAGTGATGGTTAGTGCTCTCTGAGGTGTGAAATTCCTGCTCCCAGCCCAACAGCAATAAATATCACCAAACAACATTTAAAAAAGCAGAAACACAAAGAACATCTCGTCTGTGTTTGTATCTTCACTCGCTCAGTGTTTTGTCATTTTAAGTGTTTTCAAACGTTTTAAAGTAGCATCTTCTCTTCATCCAAACTATTGTGCAGCTGCCAGTGACATTCTTAATTCACCGCTCCTGCAGCGAGTGCCATGACTCATTTAGCCAGGGAGCAGGAAAAACAGCACTGACTTACGTAAGTAACGAGTACAGAAAGCAGCACCTACTCAGGGGAGGGTAGCACCCCCAGACCACCTCTGCGGTGAACACGGGGCTCGGATGGACCCCCCAGGCTGGTTGGGCACCGTGGGGCTCACACCAAAAGCTGCGCTGCCGCAGCGCAGATCTGCGCGGGCAAGGGGCCGTGCCCCCTCTCCCCAGGCAGGCTCTCGCCTTTTGCTGCATCCACATTAGTTAGAAAGCAAACAAGAACAGTAAAAATGCAATGTTTATGCAGCAAAGATACAGCAAAGCCCTCAATGACCCTCACACGGAGGAAAGCGCTGTCTTTGCCTGCTAGGAAATGCCACGGCCTTGGCATTTAGAAGATCTGCTGCCTCCTAATGCTCCCTGCCTTAGGAAACTCAGGCCCCTGGGCTAATCCCTTTGGCCCACGTCTCACATCTGGTGCCAGGAGCTTAGCCCTGGTCCCAGTTTACACAGCCAGCACCTGGCTGGCTGAGAAAAGCATCACCTGCAAATGAATCCCAGTCGGCGTTCAGCACGAGGGGAGGAATGGCATTAACCACAATATAAATCATGAGAGATGAAAATATGGATTTTATTGAGTGGCTTCAAAACGATATGCCAGCTATAGAAGTATTATCTATTGGATAAATAAGAGCTGTCTATGTGACACAGGTTTTCAAAGGATAAATATTAGAGAGGGAGAGAGAGATCCTTCAGCGAGAGACTCACATGAAAGTAGTGTTGGATTTTATTCTGAGGAAATTACAGCACTTGTATGTCAAGTGCACAAGGACTGATGATCATTTCAATAGTGGGAGATGGAAGTGGTATCAGAGTAGTAAAATTTAAATTGTTCCCTACTTTAGGCCATGCCTCACTGAGCTTTGCATCAGACTCGCTCCCGCAGGCAGCACGGCCCCGCCAGCCCTCCCTGGACAGACGCAGCTCGCCCACCGCCGGGCCAGCAAGCCCCTGCTGCCTGATTTTAATTTGCTGTCCCTGGGGGATGTCTCCTGCCTTGATCCATACCGACCTCCGCTTGGTGCTTTACTGGCTCAAATTCACGGGCTCCTTCTGTTCACGTACACTCCTGCTCCAACCGCCCTCCCGGCACGGCAGCGGGGCTGGCTCCCCATCAGCTCGGGGTGAGCTCTCGCCTTGGAAATCGGCCCTTCTGAGCCTCCTGCCCGCGGGACACGCTCCCTCCCTGCTGCCCTCAGCCTCCTGCCCCTGCCCAGCCAGCCCCAGCTCGGGCAGTTGCCTCCTGCCCTCGCAGCCCAGCCCAGGGTGGCCACTGGCCCGGAGCCCCTGCCCGCCAGCCCACCTCGCCCCCCATCTCACGCTCCTACACAAGACAGCAAACAGCCGCGTCTGGCTTGACTACCAGGAGTGGGCACGAAAACACACATCTCAAATGATTTAAATGACTTAAATCAATATGCTGCTAATAGCACGTAAGTATTTTAATAAAGCAGAGTCTTCAGGGGGTGTATCAAAACCTCCTTGGTTCACACAGCAGGCCGTGTGTCTGGTCGGGTCCCCGGGAGGAGCACGGATGCTGTGTGAACACGCTGCCTGGCCCCTCCCTGACACTCAGCGACGTCTGTAACGCCCCGGGGCAGGGGGGATCAGCGTTACCCTCAGGGGGCACAGGGTGGTGAGTCGGGCAGCTTCCCAGACTCGCTCAACATAAACCACTGAATTTGTGCCAGAGCTGGTGACACTGCCAGGTGCCCTGAGTCCCAGCCTCTCGATGGAACCATCAGACACCATTCCCATGTAACTGCTACGCTCTCTGTGTGGGTGAAGGTGGAAGAATAACAGTAGACGTTACATACCGGTCTCTCGGGTGACATAATCGATGAAATCCCCATGGGAATTTTGGCTCCAAAATTTCCTAGGGGGTGAAGCAGCACAATAAGTTTGGAGACTAGAGAGTGGAAATATTCATGCTTTACCAAGAACTTGGTGCTTTGTGTCCCCTAAGTATCTCCCACTGAAGCAAAAGGACCAAACATGTTACCTGCATAATTGCACCCACAGACTGGTTGGAGCATGAAACACCTTTTTTCTCCAAAGCTAAACCCCCTATTTCCTACTGCCACCTTTGCCTCCCCTTCTCCAGAAAATTCATTTTAAGACACAAACATGGATTCTTGACACAAGAGAATGCAATGCTGCATAACATGGTGATAAGACCCTCATGCCCATGCTCGGCCAGGCTGCAGGCATGAACCCGATCCCTCTGAGACCCATGTGCACGCGGTCCTGCCTTCCCTGGGAATCCTTCATCCCGTGCTGCACATGCAGCACTGTTCTCCGAGTGCTCACACAGGCACAGTGTGCACACGAGTTATCGCAGTGCCAAGTGAACGGGCACTCAAATTCAAGCCTTGGGAGTAATATTTTACTGTGGTCTCATCACACAGCCTGGGCCAACAGCAGTGACAACCCTCTTTACCTCTGTTGGTGATGTTCTTCACTGGAGGGTCTTTCTGCCCAGGGCTCGACACGGCACTCTCAGCTGCAGGAGGACTCAGTTTCCCTGTCTCCCAGGAGGTTGTGTTTCTTGGACTTGACAGGTAGTTGGTGGGATGAGAGCAGTTCTGTGATGACAGGGAAGAGGTACAGGGCAGTAAAAATTGCAACACGAGTCTTTGCTAGATCCAGGTCCAATTTTAAAGATCTATTTTATCTGTGCTGTGACTCCTGGGACGTTGACTCCCACCCCACCCTGGTACAGCAGGCTGCTGCCTAATCAGGGTAGATTAGCTTTGGGTCTGCGTTGTCCAACAGGACTGCAAAGAAGGGACACAGCCTCTGCCACACTCCCTACGTAAGAAAAATAAGACTTCTTTCCAACATCATCTCTTCAAAGGAGTCCTAACACGCACCTAGGCCCCTCCTCTGGCGGGTGCACGATGAACGAAGGGGGCAGCAGGGCTCCCTTGCAACTTACTGTGAATGAGAGTGCTTTCTTCTTGTCCTTCATCCTCTGGATGGCATTCCTCACCTGGAGTGGAGCAAGGACATTAGAGAGGGCCACAGCAGCTAAGGAGAGCAAGAGATCCTCCAGCAAGTCATAGAGAGAAAGCAACCGCTGTTCCAGAAGCACAGTGGGAGCTATGCTGCCTGTTGCACCTACTACAACCCCAGCTACCCCCGGGACTGCTAATAAACAGTTGCTGCGATGAGTGACTGAGCACCAGTCACTTACCTCGCTGTTATAGATTGCATAGACCAGGAAAATGTACAGGCCCTGAAAAGGAGAGAGCACAGGAAGCGTTAGAGATGTACAGCTGGTTTGTGCTATTTTGCAAGGGAGGAAATGAGTTTGATGAGCACCAGAATGGGTGAAGACCCAGGCTAAGGGGAAGAGGCACAGATGGTGGGCACAGCACAGGCAGGGACAGCCGGGCAGGAAGGGCTTTTCTTAAAACGACACTTGAGACCAGGCTCTTCACAGAGAGTCCAAAGGAGAGGCAGTCCCTTCCCCAGTCCCTCTTCCTTCTCCTCTCCCCCCATTTCATTTGGGGACAGTATCTCTCACTGGGCACTCAGCTTCCCGAGCTTGAAGCTCTCCCACACTCCCATTCACTTGTGCATGCAAGATCCCCCAGGAAACACCTTCACATCTCAAAAGCAGAGACCACCCGGAATTAATTGCTACGGGAACTGAAATCTGGGAAGCAGACACCTCCCTTCCCACCGAGCACTGACCCCCGGGGGGGCTTTCACCAGCCTCCTGCAGACCAAGAGCAGCGTGATGTTGGGACAGTTCCTCTGTCCCAAGGAGTGACAGACCACAGCGTTAACAGGACCCAGGTTCAGTGGGGTGTGGACCCCGGGGCTTTGCTCAGCCCCACTCTGGACCATCCTTCCCGCCAGCACGCCGGGGCTCCGGCAGCACAGTCTTGGCCACCCTCTCCCTGCTCACCGCCCCAGTGCTGCTGCGTGCACAGACCAAGGACCAGCGAGCAACGACGGGCTCTGCCATGACCAAACGCTCGGCCACGGCGCTGTGCCCGGGGCTGACGCGGGATGCGCTCAGGGAAAGTGCCCAGGGCAGGGCCAGAGCGAGCATTGCCTGGAGGCCACAGCCTGGGGCTAATTACAGCTCCAGACCAACGCTTTTGGCCGTAAGGCAGCCCTATCTGGCCCACCAGATTTATGTTATATCTGTGGGGTGTTTGTTATCGCAGCTAGATAAATCAGCTGCAGCAAGAAAAGTAATCCATCTTGTCTTCAATGAGCCTTGCTCTTCATCTGCGCGCTCTTGGCAGGCGCGATGGTAGCGGTACCCTGGCGCCGTGCCATGACCTGTCCTTCAGCCAGCAATGCTGGTCACTCCCCCAGACCAGATTTCTGGTCCGGCTGCCAAGGCAGGTCTAACTTGAAATAATCATTCTGGATGAGCACGGGGCGGGGGGGGGGGTGGGTCGGCTGGGAGGAGAGCGAGGAAGGAGAGGAGGCCCAGCTGCGGGCGGAAGCGGAGCCGCGGCTGTGGAGGAGCCCGCTCCCGGCCCCCCGCCATCTTCTGCCGGCGAGGCCCCGGCCCCCGGCGCCCCCCACGCACGGCGGGGCAGGCGCTGGGCGCCCACAGCCCAGAGCACAGCACGTGCCGGGGCCCACGGGGCGGGATGGACGCTCCCTCCTGGCGTCCGTCTGTCCGGCGACCACGTCCCGCTTCGCGCCGCACGCCCCAGCTGGGAGCAACGCCACCTCCCGCTCCCCCCTCGCCGGAGGCGGGTGAGTGGCTCTGTAAGTCCCGGCGCTGACCAGCCTCCCCGCTCTCCGAGCTCAAATGCAGGCAGCTGGTTTTACCTGAAGTGTTTCCTAACAGCGGGCACCCCGGCCCAGCGTTGGGTGCTGGGCAGGGCGTTGGTGCCGCCACCTCCAGAATCACAAGCAGCCACTGCTGCCGCAGCACCGCTCCCCATTGCTTTTCAGTCACTCAGTTGAATTCCTGTGCTGCCTGGCTGGAGAAGGAGCTGTCATGTTTGGTGTCGACGCACAGAGTAACCTTGAAGAGAGGCTTTGGTTTCCGCAGAAAAACAGAAAAGCGGTCAAACAAACAAACAACCACAGCAGCAAAACTTTGCTGCACAAGACTCGTGCATGAAGAAGCGCAGTGGCCTTAAAGGAAATTCCAAGGCGATCCATAAGACACTCAGCAAAGGGGCTGAAATGGGACAGCTTTGTCCCTGCCTTCTCTCAACTCCACAGCTTCCCACCAGCATCCCTGTTTCTCCTCTGGGGTAATCTGCAAATTGACCTGAACTTGGTAGTGAAGGGGCAGAGGCAAACAAGCACAGCATACCCATGGGCAAACCCTCAACTGCCTGTCCACACAACAGCCACGCCTGCTACCGAGTTTCGGGAGAAATATGAAAAACAAAAGCTGCAGTAACTTAGAAAGCAAGGGAAAAAAACCAATCCTGAACACACAAACACCTCAGCTCCTATCTCACCCAAGGTGGACATTGTCATGGTTTGTGAGAGAGAGTCTCGGGAGATGTGTCATCCAGAGGGCACATTTATTAATCCATTTCAGGAGTTATTCCTTGTCCCAAAAACCCCCTAAGCCCAGCACCCGTGCTACCACAGCCAGCATCCCACAGCCCCGCTGCCAGCATCAGCGATGAATCCAAGGCTGAGCCAGCCGTGGAGGATGTAGGCAGGCCACAGTCAAGGGGTTTGAACCAGGGAACGTGTCGTGGGATTTCCCTTGCCAGTCCTGGGTTGCGGAGGGAAGAACAGCCCTGAGTGCTACTGGAAAGCAGTACTTCTCTCCCGAAGGCTGCCCAAGCCTGAGACCCTCAGCAGGACCCCGCCGGTATCAGGTGTGATATACGTGCTCATGTTTTTACAGCACGAACACTGCAGCAAGGCAGAGGAAGACTGCCAGGATGGTGCTGGGATGCTGTGCTCTGATCTGCCTCTCTGCTGATGTTGATGGGGTTCACCCAATCTGAGAAACGTTTTTTTTTTCTGTTAATGAAAAGACGCTGGTGCTGTTCTCAGCTCTGCTCCCCTCATTTCTTCACAGCACTGAGCCGGGAGTTCTCTTCTGCCCAAGAACCTAAGCATGGCATGAGGGGGCAAGGAGAACTGATGTTATATTTAATCACAGTTAGGACAGGCCTCCTGCCACCCTTCTGATATCCTTAATGGCAGAGATGCAGATAGGCGGCCCTTGTCTGGCCTTGGAACATCCCCATCTGAGAGCCGGCGGATGTGCGTGAGCAGCACCCGGCGCTGGACCAGCGCCAGCCACAGGCAGAACATCCCTGGAGCAACCCCCCATCTCGTGCACGTGGGGATAACGCCTGCCTTTCACCCCTGGAGAGCTGGGCCAATGCTACGCTGCAACCAGCCAAGTATGCCAGAGGGAAGCACTGCAAACTCTGCTGCTCTGTAAGTGAAAGCTACAGCTGGAGCCAGTTTCTACAGGATCCAAAGAAAAAAGGGAGATGAGGGTGGAGAACTCTTTGGATCCCAACGGTTTGGAGGGCAGTGCCCCACACTGCTCTCTTGACTTGTATCCCCTGGAGTAGGATTTGTCCTCAAGCACTGGGCAAGGGACTCTGAAAAATATGTCAGTGACCATCCGGTGCAAAGGGACAGGACTGGCTGCGTGTGCCCAGGCACTACCTGTGCGGCACAGTCAGCCCCTGGGCTGTCCCCCCCCAGCCAGCTCCCGGCCCCAGAGCCCCCCGGCCTGTCCCCCCCCCCCCCGGCTGTGGCAGGAGCAGGGGCGTTCGGTGCTTCTCTGGCTCCATCTACAGCTGCCTGCTCTCAGGGTACAGGCAGCTCCTGCCAGCAAGGGGGCTGATGCTCTGAACTGTGGGTCTGGCTCTTTCTGTCCCCGCTGGTCCCTGAGGTTCAGTGTCTTGAGGTCCTGGGAACTGCCCTGCCTCGGGGCAGAACCGAGCACCCCTGCCTGCTGTGACTAAGACAATTTGCTTCTATCTCTTCACCACATACAGGCTGATTAAAGTTTTAAACCCTTTTGATGAAACCAGTAAACTTAGAAGCAAATATTAATTGTTGCTTCACACACCATGGCTACTTTCTGTTCTGTAGAGATCCCTATTAATACTAACATATTAACAGCATGATTCTGAAGTATGGTAGCATTCAGGAGTCACAGCCATGGCCCTGGAAGACACCAGGACAAGCAAACAGCCTTACAAATGTAGTCAGATGCTACTTGAAGAAGAATGAAAAGGCTGAAGGAGATGACATGACTCAGCCAAGGTCTTGCAAGTCAGAGCTAGAATGAGTACACGCACTGCCAGCCCCCCCGTGCGAGGCTCTGACCACCAGCCGACATCCCAGTCTGTTCCACCGAGCAGTCCTGCATCCCATCAGATTCCAGTGCCCCTCTCACCAGGCACTGGGAGCATCCCTGAGGAGCAGCTGCATGGGCTGCAGACAATACAGATTTTAGGGGGTAAGTATTTTCAATCCTCGATTCTTAATTCTTCTCACCTCCCTGCAGGAAAGCGGTCTTGCAGGTGAAGGGAAGGTGGTTCTGCCGGTACAGCTCTTAGGACACAGAACTGTAACTGTCTACAGTTCATAGGACACAGATCCCACAGAGCCTCTGAGTATGTATGAACATGAACCAGATGAAAACCACTCATCTTAGAATACACACCATCCAAGCAGCAAACAAGCACGCTATGGCTGGAGGTCGTCTTTGAGACGCTCTCCGTGAGCAGCCCTGTTCTGACGGTGATGCTGGCACACACAGCCCATCCCTGCCCTGTAGGAACGAGGCTCAAAAAGTACCTGGGATGTCTGCTCCATTAAACCGGAGAGTTACCATTTTAATTATCCATTAAACGACCAAATCCAAACTCTAATGAAGTTCCTTACAAGCACGTCAGTTTGGAATTCTCATTTTGAAACCATGCTAATGTCAGAAAATCTAACATGAGAAACTACATTTGAACTGGAAAGCTGCGGCACCAGTAAGACACTCCAGAGATTGGTGCTGGAGGGCCTTTAGGCGAACAAGGTCTCCAGGGCTCTATCTCACATCCTGGGAGCATGAACTTAGTTTCCTCAGACAAAACAGCACGGCGGCGTGGGAAAGCTGGGCTGGGCTTCAGAGCTGACCAATGTCCCTGAGTGTTAGGACAGGTAGAGCACACTGAAGCACAAGAAACCGCGGATACCTGCTTGGCCGTGATGTGAGGATCCACCCGGTACAGGACTCACCTGGAGGGAGTTCAGCCCGATGAAGACATAGGCCCAAACGATGCTGAGGTGGACAAGGACCCCACACACCCACGTCAGCCCCAGCACCGGCAGCAGCACCAGGATGGGCTTGGCTGTGGCCCTGTCAGGAAGAAGAGTTCAGGGTTACCCAGGTGGATTTCGAAGCCGAAACGCTGTGGACTGGCAGCCCCCCCCCCAGCCACCAGCTCTGCACAGAGGTCCCTGTCGTGCCCCACATCCCTGAGCCCAGAGTGTCCTGGCAAAGCTCCCCAGCCTGCCAAACAGCCTGCTCGGCTCTGCAGACCCTGCCCCAGGTCTCGCCACGAGCTGCCCGGGGCAGCTGCACAACGTTACAGAGCACAGGAGTGGATCTGCCCTGGAAAGAGCTCCCCAGGTTTAGGAACACCCCGGCCCGTATCCTGTAGTTTAGAAGAAAATTGCCTTGCCTTCATGCTGGAGACAGCTCTCCTACCCCAGCAAGTGGCTTTCAATGTGGCCACCAAGAGGCACCCAAGATGGTAGCTATGGAACAAATTCCTTTGCACACAAAATTAGTTAAGAGGGGAAAAACCAAACATTCCACCTCCCAGCCCCCAGTGTGCCAGCCCTGCTCTTTATTTATCACTGAGAGTGAGCAAGAAGGGAGCTCTTTGACGTCATTAGCCATGAGAAAACAGCTATTTTGCCCCCAATTGCTGCTACAAGGAGGGCTCCTGTATTTGTTTTATTAGCATATGGATGTCACTCTGCCCTCCAGCAATGCCCTATCTTCGTGATTCGGTAAATTTGGGAAAATTTATTTATGATACAGGGGAACAATGTGTCTAGCAGCGGTATCCGGCGCCAGCTAACAACAATAAAGATTCACAGAGGGTGATAAAGTAATGACTCAAGCAGCAGTTTTTTAGAGGTCTCTCTATATTGACTGATTACAGAAGTCCACATCGCCTCTCCTTCCCCATGTATGTAATCTCCACCAGCGTTACTTTCAATCCACCAAGTCCCAAAGTCATATAAAAAATGCTCTTTATAACAGCAAATAAGCCAACCGCCCTGCGCTCTCTACAGCTGGCAGCCTGCTGAGGGGCACACGCAAGTGCTAAGGACGGGATGGGTGTGAAACAAATTCAGTTACAACCCCTTCAAACTGCAATTTTCTACGAAGCGGAGAGGAGCCGCTTCTGCAGCTCGGAGCTCTATAAAATTCCATGGAAACTGGGCACATCCAGGTGGGTCCCTGGGTTCCCTGAAACACCCCAAGCTGCTACCTCTCCTCCCCGCGGGGATGTCTGCCGGGCTGGCAGCGAAGGGGCAGACAGCTCAGCAGCGGGTTCGGCGCTGCGACCCGCGGTCCCGCGCGCGCGGTCACCACTGCAGCCAACGGGGACGCGCTCGCACTGCTCATCCCCAGACCCAAACTGCTGCTCCCGGTGATGCCGACGGGCCCAGGGTAGCTTTGATTTCAGCAGGCGCTGCCAAGGGTCCCCCATCCCCATTCGCTAAGAATTAGGAGTGGGAGTGCAGATGTGGGAGTCCAGCACTGGGCTCCTCAGGCTGCAAGCGCTGGCTGGGCTTCTCAGCGGCACAGACATTAGAGCAGAGACACTACCTCTGGGTGATGCAGTTACCTTGGAGGTGAAAACCCTTTCTGCCCTGACACCCCAGTCATTGCCTTTCACTTTGCCAAGGCAAAGACTCATCTTAACCATAATCCCACCATTTCATACCCGGAGCAGCCATGGCTGGGAAAACCAGCCACCTCCCCGCTCACCATATCTGTATTCCAATCTGGTTCTCCAGGCTGCTGTTGGGCGTCAGCATCTTTGATCTCCTGCGAGCACTGGACACAGTCACCATCACCACCCGGAACAGCACGAAGGTGTTCACCTGTCAGAGAAGAGCCACTGGACCCAGTAACTTTCTGTAATCTCAACTCCAGTTAGGTGAGACTTTTCTACTGTGAACTCAATAACTAAGTGTCAGAACTTGGGGAGAAACATATCACTCCTGAAAAAGCAGTGAGCAAAATATTTCATAGAGCTATCCACACAAGTATAGCATCTATAAAACTTATCTCAAAACTTCTCCCACAGAATGTTTTCCCTGTTAAGTGTCTACTCTAGACCCCTTAAACATTGCACCTTTTTCTGCCACTGTGCTGTCTAGTGATATTAGTACTACCTCAAGGACACTGATGTTCCCATATTAAAATCAGACCTTTAGTTAAGGCAGTGTTACAGTCAACCTACACATTTATCTACATTCCTAATTTAACAGCCAATATGAGAACTGGTCAGCAAAATTTTCTTAAAGCACTCTTTTCTATAAAGAGATTCATTTGTGTTGTGAAAATATATAGAAAGCATAACAGAAATTTTCCTATAAAAGCAGCAGGCACAATGAGCCCTGTGAGGAAGCACCTTAGCTAGAGAAGTGCTCACGCCCCTGACTCTGCAATGCTTTCCTGAAACCAGACACGAAGGAATCACACCTTCCTGGCAGGTTTTGATACTTACTGCCAGGATGAAGAGAACGGGCCCCACAAAGGCCCAGATGACGTTGGTCTGAACGTTCAGCCAGCAGTGGTTGTCTGCCACATACTTGTTAAAGGAAGTTGCAAGGGTCACACCCACAATAACGACAGGAAGGCCTGCAGCAAAAAATCACAAATTAAACCCCAGAAAAAGCAGAGATGACCCATGCAGGTCGGCTGTGCTCTAGACAATTGCTTCAAAATCCCCACGACCAGACACGCTCCGGTGTGAGCCAGCTTAGCCTCTGAAACCCCACGAGCAACATCAATTTACTGCAGCTGAAATCTGTCCAGGCACTACAAGACCAGATTTATACGCTGTCAGCATCACTCTCCTAGGTATAAAGCATTCCACATCCTGAGCCCTGATCAAAGCAATTTACTCCTCAGATTGCTTTTTTAACAAAATGGACAATCAAAGACATAAACCAATCCAAAATATTTGAACCAGTTGTCCAATGTCCAACTAGGTGTGTGTTTTGCAAGGAGCACTGACCTGAAGAGGCTCCTCTTTGATATGAAACCCAGCTTATTCAAATTAATTCTATCTCCCTAAATATATTCTAAGACCAGCAATTTGACACATAAGGGTAGGAAAGCCTCTGCAGAGCAGTGGTACCTGACTCGTATACTGAATCAAACCAAACATTCTGGAATCTCTCCTACCGAAACTTTTGCTAGAGAAAAAAAATGACATATTTTTCTGACTGCCCATCAGGGAGGAGTCTGTAGATACCCCAGCCTGTCACATAGTAGAACTTCATTCTCCTGTCTTCGCTCATGTTGACTGCCACCACTTTGCTCCACAGCAGAAGCCCCTCTACCAGCATCCATGAAAAGGCTGCCATGAAGAAGAGGTGAAGGAAGGCAGTGACCATGAAACACACCACCTGGAGAGGAGAGAAATCACCGTTTCAGGAGGAGGAGTTCTCTGGGAGCTTCTGAGTGTGTGTGGTCAGGAGGAAGAGGGCAACCTGCAAATTATGCTGCAGAATGTGCAGAAATGTATTTAAACATTCACAAGCACCAGGAAGAGTTCTTAAAATTGCAACACATGAATAGTCCAACTGCTGCAGCTCACATCATTTCATCTATGTGAGAATCTCAAATCACAGAAGGCAGAACTGATAGCATCTTTTCCTGCAGCTCTTGGACTATCCTTGCAGGTCTCTCATCTCAGAGCTGCTTGATCCAGCCCCAGGATGTAGCAGAGGACACAGAAAGGGACATAAATGTATGCTGCTGTTCTATAACTACTTAAATTTCCTGAAGAAGTTTTTTTGTCAGAAACAAACTGTCAGAAGAAGAGGTGAATTTTCCTGGCAGCTTGCACAATGCATACATGCATACCTCCAAACACGGAGATACAGTTCTTTCCTAGATGCAAGTTATAGGTAATTCATGAAACATTAATAAGAGGACTACACTTCTGTTCTGTTTGCTCTGACAATGGCGCTTGAGCAGGACACTTTCTGGTGAGCTCACCTGGTTGGTCTTGGCCAATTCACTGACCATGAGCAGAGCTTCTGCTGCAGCTAACGCAAAGACCAGGTTCTTGTGCACAGTTGTTCGTTCACTCTTGGGGACACTGAGGAAGGAGAGAGGGGAAAGGGTGCACATGTTCTCACTAGTCCTTGCTGGGCCGTGCAGACCTGCCCGAGTGACCTGCGATCTCTCTGCTACCCACTGCGAAGCCGACGGTCCAGCGAGGCAGGGACTGCCCTGCCGTGCGAGCGCTCGGTGCCGGGGACGCGCGTGGGTACGGCTGCTCAGACCTGGGGCAGTGCTCCAGGGGACAGGCAGCCAGGGGGAGGTGGCAGGCGCCGCTGCCATGCTCACAAGGCAGATCCCTGCGCTTGCCAAGTGGCACGGGAGGGCTGGCAACTGAAGAAGCAGCCTTTGCTCCCTCTATTTTATAATAAACTCTAGTGGAGCAGCTTTTGGGGTAAGCGTTCTCATCGGTAGCAATCTTCCCACAGGCACTCAGGTGGCCGCACAGCTCACACAAGCATCTCCACAGAAACAACCAGCTCTGCACCCCCTCCCTTGCCAAAAACAACCGCTCCTCTCCCTCCCCTCCGCTACCAACCACCAGTGCTGCTCCCCAGCCTCTCCCCACGCACCTGCATCACCCCACACTGACAAAGGACACCTTGCTTGTATACCTGCTCTGAAGCAAAATAGCAAACAAACTAATCCAGAGAAGGCTACAAGTGTCTGGACTTTTCTTACCCAACTGCCAAGAATAAAATGAAGGTAACAATCAAGGCACAGAAGGAAACTCCACATCCAATAAAAGTCAAGGTCTGCAGTGTGAGCTCCTCTTTGGCAGTCCTCTGCTCCAACCATGAAACAACAGAAGACACAAAACCCCACAAATTAAGCACAGATTGCTCGCAGTTCTGGCATGCGCCCCACAGGGATAAAGGTTCCTCACCTACCTGCATCTCGTACACCTGCAGCAGCACAGCAAAATTTGTGGTGTGGTTGCAAAAACAGGCAGTGGAGTCCGGGAGAGGTGTCACCACAGAGCAGCCAGCTGTGGACCACATCCCACCAGCATCTGGGCTAACATGCAGCAAAAAAATAGAGAAAACACGTGGAAATTACCATTCACATCAATGGAAAGCCAAGGTGTTCATTCTTCCAGAAGAAGCGGAGTTGAAACAAGGAAAAGGATATCAGACAGGTCTCCATATGAACTTCCCTTTGGCTCATCTTGTGTCTCAGCATATTTGCCTTACCTGTCAGGCATGCACAAAAAACCAGGTCTGGTGTCAATGCCTATATTAAAAACCACAGTTCAGCCACCACCGCTTTAAACAGAACTCAGCAGTTGCACAGCTCCAGGAAGAGCTCCTTTTACAGCACATTCACCAAGAGCACCACTGGACCAGACATGTCTAATCCTCCGCACCAGCTTGGCCTGCCACGCTCCCGGTGCAGGTCCACCGGGCCCCTGATCTCCAGGACATGTCTCCAGCCAGCTGCTCCCTGCTGCCCAGGCAGCCAGCAAAGCTCCGGATCTGAATTCCCTGTGCAGGGACCACGGCTGCACCGGGTCAGCTCCGTCCCCGCTGGCAGCACTGCCCCTCTGAGCTGGCCCCAGTGCCAAGGGAAGATCAAATTCAGGGCAGAGTTACTGGAACTGTTTGTGCAGCAACCATCTGCTTCCAAAAACACCCTCTTCCCACCTTCCCCAAACTGATCCATGCATGTTACAAAACAGGGACCCTAAGGAGTTTTTCTGCACTTGAATGACTTAATTACCAATACATAATATATCACAGTCTCAGTGTTCTCACTGCAGTGACATTCAGCAAAACCACACCTCAATGCCAAGCAGTATTTATGAGGCTGAGAGTCCTGCATGTCTGCTGGGCTATATATCTTGGACCAACCCTTCTTTGTTGCAGACAACAATCATAATTAACTAGGGCTTTCCATTTTAGTTGTATATACCTCATTAAAGGTCACTTGCTTGTGAGTGACTTTTTCAAAGGAAATCTTCCCAGGAGAGCACTCTACCCCAGCAGATAGAGGATGCCAGCAGGCAAAGCAGGCAAAGAACTGCAGAACCCTACTCTTACCATTACATTTATATTGTTATGTGTGTCTTTTCAGTGGAAATAAAAGCTCCTAAATCTGGGGACCCGAACTGAAACAAGGCACCTGAGGCTGAAGTTCCAGAAGGCACAAATAGGCCCCACCAGCTTATCGGGAAGGTCCTGCAGGCAGAGAGGGAGAAGAAGAGATTACACAACCATGCGCGTGCTGCATGCAGACTGCTGCAACAAGGCCTGTCAGCACGGGACAAACACCTTCCCAGGGAAAGAGGAGTCAAGGTGAGAGGCCTGGGCATGGGACACCCTGAAGACCAAGAGCTCTGGGGGTCTCGGGCTGAGGCTGGGCACAGCCTGCCGGGTCAGGCTGCGCGACGCCGCTGGCGGGGGAGGCGGGGGGGAGCAGAGCCCCTCCGCGGGGTACCTGGACACGGTGCTGCAGGCGGTAGCGCACAGCCGTGCTGATCTCCTGGTAGTCGCTGAGCAGAGCGGATGAGATGACGGCAGTGCCCACCACGGTGCTCAGGTACCTGTCAGGGAAAGCATGCAGCTCACAGGCACAGGAACCACAAGACGCACAGGATCTCACGTTATACAAAGCAGCTGGAGAGATCTGGAGCCACCTTTGAAGCGCTTCAGTGCTGCCGGCAAAGGGCCTGGGCACGGGGCAGAAAGAACTTCCCAGAACCTGGCACCCCGAAACCACCACCACTCCCCCCAGCACTGCAAGAGGTGGCTGTACAGGTGAGGCCCTGGAGCATCTTGTGCGGGTGGCAGCTGAGGCGCAGCAAAGGCCCAGCGCAGGAGCGGTGCGGGCGCTGGGATGTGCGGGCTGCCATCCCCACCTAGTGTTCAGCTCCCGGAAAGCTGAGGCTCTGCCTCCCACCCGGCTTCCCAGGGCCAGCCCGGCTCCCGCAGCCTCTGCCCCAGCCCTTGGGGACCCTGCAGCGGCCCCGAGGCTCCGTCCCCAGCAGAGCAGATAACCCAGGGGAACTGGAGCCCCACAGAGGAGCCATGGCGGTGCACTACGGCACAGCAGCCCCACTGCCCAGCTCGGGACGAGGTGTGCCAAGGGCCTCTGCCTCCACAGCGCACCGACCGGGGAGCCCCTTCCCATTGTCTGGTCTCTACATGAACACTGGACAAGGACAAACAGGATGGGATGGAGCAGGGGTGGAGGTGACCCCGAAACAGAGTCACTGAGACAACGCAGACTTGGAAATTAATTCTCCTGCGGTGCAAAGAGGGCAGCCCTGGGGTGTTGAGGGGGGTTCTGCTTCACTCACTTCTGTCCTCCATCAGAGGCAGCTGCATCCTGGAACACAGCACCGCTGCCAGCACCAGACAGGCAGCGCTGCAGGGACCCGTAGCCAAACCACATGTTTTTCACCGTGACTCTGCGTAGACCTGGAGGGACAGAGCATTGCGGGATGGGCGCAAGCACAGAGGGCAGCTCTGAGCAGCCCATGCTTCAGCACCGCTGCATGACTCTGGGTGTCCGGGGCACCCCCAGCTCCAAGCTGTGTCTGCAGAGAGGCTGTAGATCATCTCTCCACCACAGCCTTTTCACCAAGGGCACCTCCTCCCCACACTTCTCCAGAGTGCACGTGTGCAGGGTAAATAAAGAGTTTGTGCTGTTGAGGAAGATGCTGCAGAAGTGACAAGGAGACACCCGGTTAAGTACAAGCATCATAACCTACCTCTAGCTTTCAGTCTTTGCATTTCTTCTGCAGGAACTTCAATGAGGTCGTGCCTGCCCTTCTCAGGGCTCTGGACCAGGTACGCCTCACTGCTCAGCTCCTGCCCGCTCAGCTCCAGCTTCCTGACTTCCATCCCTGTGGAGGGGTAAAATCAGGTACTGAACCAGGGCTCAGCTTTCCTCCAGATCTACTGCTACAGCAAAGTACAAGGACATTATAACTCCAGCCAAGATCCACAGCAGCAGCAGACAGATCCCTTTCAGTGCAAACAAGGTGCATCTAGGCTCAGTTTGTCTCCTGCACCCAAAGTTTTCTTATGATCCTGTTACAATCCACAGTGTGAGAGGTGCCCCTACACCGTGACACTTCTGCATGGAGGAAATGGGGCGAAGGCTGTAGGTAGGGTTAGCAAAGATGAGCCAGAGGAGGAGAGGTGCCAGGAGTGGATTTGGACTGGGAACCAGATGGGGTGACTAAGCTGGGTCCCGTGAGATGCCCTACCCCAGCTCTGCCAGTGCCACTCACCAACGTTCCCATGCTGGATTGTGATCTTTGTCCTCCCTGCGGTCAGCAGTGGGGCTAAATGTGACACCATTCTGTTGCAGAGCTCAACAACAGCCATGGGCCCTCTGATAACCTGCAAACACGGAGAGAGCAATGGAAATCAGCACCCGCACCACCACACTTCCCACAGCTCAGTAGAGTTTTCTTAAATGCTTGGTCCTTGGCAGCAAAAGAGATGTTGGGACTCCAGGCTTTTGCTTTGCTAGACGAGACTGGCAATGAGGGAAACCTGCTGTTTTTTATAGAAAGCCATTAAACCAGCATGGAAATACGTAACTAAATAAGCTTCTGGAAAGAAAGCAGATTTTCAGACCTGACTCCTGATTTTTGCAAAGCTGTAGAACAACCATCCTCTCTTCCTGGAAAAGGAGTCACCCAAAACTAGACTCCACTGCTGGAAGGGTGGCAGGTGACTGGCCCCATTCTTCCAGGCCCTGCGAGTGTTGGGCAGCACCGGTGCCACCCCTGTAGCACCCAAACCCTTTCTCCTTCAGCAGATATATCTGCTGCACCAGCTACACTGGGCCAGAGCTGGTTTTATGCCACTACCGAGAAGCTGTGAGTAATTGTGGCCACAGAGACCTAAGCAACTCTAAGAAATGAGGTAAACTCTGAACTATTCAGCATCCTTTCATCTCTGGAGGCCCCTGGCTTGGTTCCTGGAGCACTGGCCAGGCCAGACGCTGTCACACATTTCTCAGAGACAGGTGGAGAGCGCAGACCATACAACAGGCACAAAAGACCCATGTGAGAAGGGAAGAAGCTAATGGAGAAAATCCTAATGTGGGTGGGATGATCGAAATCCCTCATACAAAGCCTGACGGTGTCTTGAACGGTGTGGGGGCTGATGACAGATAGCTCCTTGGCAGCCCACCCACAGAAAATACAACAAACTGTAAAGTGAAGGGCATTGCCCTGCCAGAGACAGCAGGATGTGGGAGCAAGGAATCTACAAAGCACTGGGAATCTGCAAATGGTGTGTAATCCTGCAAATGCAGGCTGACAAAGTGGAGAAGCCTGATGAGAGCTGAGAGAACCATTGGAGGGGTTTGCAAGGAAGGCACCACTTGACTGCACTTGTTTGCAGAAGAACTTATTTGCACCTCCAACAAACAAGGCAACAGTAAGGCAGCTGGCCCTTATCTGAGCTGGCAAAGAGGCTCCATGCCCATGCTTGCAGCATGTTCACAAGCTCCAGAATACGGCCAGAAAGGCTACATGTGACCATGCAAGGACAGGTCCTCAGCCTGTGGCCATAGAGCAGGCCAAGGAGCTGCACACACAACAAGATGAACAGATGTGGCACACAGAGGCCAGGCTGCTGGTGACACTGTTACCTGGCTGACTGATGACCATGTTTCAATATTCTGCTCTTCCAAGATTAACTCAGTCACTTCCACATAATACTGGCCCAACTGCTCCAGCATCTCCAGCTCCTCTGCCTCCCGGACTTCCACATCAGAAACTTGCTTTAGTAATTGAAGCACTGCAAGGAGGTCAGATGGCTCCAGCACGGGTGTCTCTCCTTCCCTGAGAACAGTTGCCAAGACATCAAGAGCACCAACAGCAACAGAGAGGTTCATGTCTTGGACATCACTTGTGAAGACGTTCTCAGGAATCTGCCACGGAAAAGATGTTTTAGTCCAGTGCAGAGCCCTAATTCTGCCTGATCATCAGCTATGCCTCGGCAATGCCCTGCATGCCCTCGCTGGCGTGCAGACACCGGCCTGGCCAACCAGGGATGTCTTAGGGGAAGGAGATCTGCCTTGACACTTTGCACTCTCTTGTCCAGACTCCCAACCTCAGTAAGAGTCAACCTGAAGAAACACTTTGCTAATTTGATCACAGCACGAGTTACAGCTGTACTGGTCACACTCTCCAAGAGCAGCTCAGAAAAGGCCACAGGCATAGCTGCTGGCAAAGTGACTTGAAACACCAGTACGTGCCAGCGAGTCCACCCCAACAGCTCCTGCCTGTTCCCAGGGTCTGCTGCCACTGCTGGGGCTGCAGGACTCACCACAGTCCTCTCTGCAAGCGTGTTCACACGGCCAACAAGCGAATGGCTGGATTCCTGCTGAGCTTTTTTCAGTTGCCAATATGCATCTGGGAATAAAACAAAAGCATAACCATTGCTGTGGTGTCTAGCAGCGTGGTTAACACATGCCATGTTGAAAGCCTGGGGAATAGTCCTCAGATGGTGGGTAAGTTTGTAGGACAGACAAGGAGTCTTCACAGCTGTATTTTATTTCTAGTGCAAGATCCCATCTGGAGAGACAGTTTAACACTTTTCTTTCTGCCTCCTCCCCATGTCCCCCTGGCCAGCAAGTCTGGAGATGCCAGATTGGGATTGGGAGGCACTCTACAGCATTGCATCCAGAGGCCATGTAATGTGTACAACCACTGCCTAACTGGAGAATAGCAAAACATCCCGTCAGAGCGCATGCAACTGAAGCAAAGTCACTGCTACAGCAGGTTTTGCATGAGACCTCTTCAGAGCAGACGTGAGGCCTCACCATCATCCTAGCTAGAACCTCAGGAATGAATGCTGTGGAAGTAATGAATAAATAAATAACAGATGCTGTACCCTTTCTGTAGCAACAGATAAAAGGCAAAGACTGCAAACAAGATGTGTAACTGAATCCACTGCTGCCAACTTCAAAAACTCGGCATTCCTCAACAGGCCCTGTGGAAACACACACAAACAGAAGGCCCAGGTCCCCCAGAGACACGCCGTCCCCAGCAGGTATCACATTCCCTGCGAGCGATCCACAAACCCGGTCGAAGACAAAATCTGTGGACTGCTCCTCAAGCAGCCCCAGAGCCAGAGCCGAGCAGGGACCGGGCTCAGAACCCGCTCCTGACCCACCTGGCAAATCCTCTCCAGAAGGAATTCAGAGGAGGCAGCGGTGCCAGGCCCTGAGCTCATGATTTCTCAGTAATGCCACGCCAGGCTGGCTGAGACCGAGTCCCTCCTCCCAGCACAGTGTCAAAGCACTGGCTGTGCAAACCCCAGGAAACAGCATCACTGACAAGTCAGCCACTTCTCTCAGTAGAAGAGAAATGCTGTAATTAGCCCAGGACACCCAAGCAGCTCTCTTTGCTGCAGTCATTGCAGAGGTCTTCAGTGGCCAAGGGTTTAGGGATGACTGTGCCTTTATGTACAATGTGTAAACTGCCCACCCCAGCTCTGAGTGTGCTTCTGCCTTCCCTCCCAAAGGAGAAGCATCATTCCACAAACCGCCCCAAATTCCCTCTCTAAGGATGGGACTAGCTTCTTGGACTATCCCCGCGTGCTGAGCCCCCACCGCAGAAGGGAGCTGAAGCAGCGAGGGTAACGAGACTTACCTGGGCAAAGAAACCGTGCCGTCACCTCCTGAACAGTGCTTTCAACCTCCAGAGCGTTTGAGCTCCACCCAAACACAAGGTCTTGCTCTACCACCCAACAGGACCGAACTTTTTCAATCTGATCCATGCTGAGGACTTTTTGCCAGATGTGCAAGTCCGTGATGTTCCCACTGAAAGACTCTTTATCCCTGAAGGTGCCCCCCAGGGAATCTTGATCCTGCCCGATTATGAAAGTCCCCTGGCCGTAGATGGCCTGGGGGGCAGCTGGCCCCACAGCACACAAACCGCTGGCAGACGCTCTCCTTTTACCGTCGGCATAGATGGCCCAGGTCCCATTTTCCTGCTGCCAGGTCACGCAGAAGTGATGCCACTGTCCATCAGCACGGAACACGGGCAGGTACGGGGAATGGTGCCCGTGGACTATGAGAGCAAATCGAACAAAGCCTTCCTCGTCGACAAAGCCACGGAGCTGGAACTCGTTAATAAATGCCGGCACAGCATAGGAGAAGATGGTAGCAATCTCCTGGGTCCTGGTGTCCCACTGGAGGTGGGCGCAGGCTGTGACAGCAGGCAGTGCTGGGAAGTCAGAGAGCACCTTCACGTATTTTGTGTCTGTTTTGTCTCTGAATACCAGGACTGGTACAGTGTGGTCCCCTAGAAGGAGAAATTTCAGCCAGCATGAAGGCAGAAGCATGGGCCAAAACCTGCTCATCTTCCACTGGGATGAAACCATCATTTTCATTTGCCTCCTACTCAAGCTAAGAAGTCACGGACCCTTCAAGCAAGGACATCCTGCAAGCATGCAGCAAGGCTTCTGCTCCCCCCGTGCCTGGAGGGGATCAGGAGGGCAGGCAAGCTGACACACTTCAGTGTGTGTAATTTCCAGAAACTTAAGTTTTCTAGCAAATCAGATTGCAAACAATGCATATGGAAGGAACAGCCTGTTCTCAAGCATCCCATGCTATAGCAACCAAGACCATAGTCGAGTAAGATCTTTGTGGCATCTGCCATGCGGTGCCTTGCTGCTGGGGGACGCCTGTCCTCCTGGTCCTGTCTCTAACATCATTGCTCTGCAGGACCTGCAGGGCACAAATACGAGGCTGAGCAAAGCCAGCCCTGCTTTACAGGGAGGTGGTACAGGAGGGCAGAGCAGAGGAGCCCCTTTGCAACTCCCTTCTGTTGCAATGTATTAAAAAATCCTGACAGTGACCAGCTGACGTGCTGGGATCACCGTTGTTCACACTGCCAGTTCCAGCTTGTGACTAGAGGTCCTAGGTGCTGCCACAGTGACAATAAAAAAACGAGTGGCAATTTTCCCAGTCAGATTAATTTTTTTATAATGAAAAAGATCCAGCAGTGAACATGTCTTCAAATAGTCCAAGCCCACTTATACTCACGTCTCCATTTTGGTTTGTGCAGGACACCATCCCTTTCATTTACCCAGACAGAACCTCGGATGTGGTGGGACTGCAGCAGTTTGCTAAAGGAAGCTTGCTCACTGTCATGGGGTTCAAAAAGCAGCTGAGCAAAGCGCTGTTCACAGTATCTGTCTGCATGCCACCAGTCCAAAGCAGTGGCCACATATTCGTACATGTGTCTTGAGGTCTCAACTGTGACAGGAGCAAAACCTGGAAAAAGACACACACAACGTGGAGAAACAGAAAGCCTCTCTAACCCACTCTCGTGCCACATATGCTACAGGGTCAGTCTCCCGAAGCATCCCCGAGCAGTTACAAATACTGCCTGGTCCATCCCAGAGAAGCTGAAGGCAGGAGCTCATTTCCATATCCAGCCCTCGGGATATTCGGTGGGCACAGTGTGACAGAAAAGTCCAGGCTATATTGGACCTAAAAGAAGGGACATCTGTGAGCCTGCTCACAAACTGAATCGCTGGCCTAGGGCTGGAGCTGGGCACGCTTGTGTGGGACATGCAAAACCAAGCTCAGTCCAAAGGAAAAGCTCACTGTGGTATGTCCAGGGATTGCCCTCAGGGGAGCGTGTTCGAAGCAGTGATGTACAAACAAATGTTCTCATTTTATTACCACTTCCCAGCTCCTACCAGCTTCTGCATTTGCAGATGCAATTTGCAAGCGCAAAATAAATCTGGTTTGTTTGCATTTACAGCAGCACAAAGACAAGCAGCTGAGCAGTACTTACCTGATTTTAGGCAGCAATTTCATAGTTAGCCAAACAAATACTTAGCTATGCAAATATAATGTCAGGCACAAAGCAGGTTATTAGAAAAAGTTTCTTTACCTTTTTTTTTTCTGCCATTGGACACCTTTTTATGCATTGTTTCTCGGTGATGAACATTGCTTGTACAGACATACAGAAGTGCTGACAAAAACACTAACTAACCTTTAGAAGTCTGATTCTTGGCAAGGGCTGCAAAGGCAAAGAGACTCCTGGACAGACTACTGACCTGTTGGAGAGGATGTTTTGTAACATTCATATAAAACATTATCTCAAATACTCAAATTATAAAAATTACTGTAAAGCTCACCAGAAAGCTGAAGAACAAAGAATCAGGTCTCAAGTCTCTCCTAAACATGCTGACCAGCTGGAAAGCTTTCACTCTTTGCTAGAATAAACAAAATATTACTAGAGATGAATGGCATAGTCAGAAGCATTCTGCAGAAAACTAGATCTCAAACAAGGCTGCTTTCCTCAGAAGGTCTTGAATCAAAAAAGTGAAAACAACTCTCTGAAATACCTGTCCCGAGTAGTATCCTATCAAAATAATTCTCAGTTCTTCTTAAAGAATTTAAGGTCTCAGTTTAACGTTTGTTTCCAGGATACAGAATAATTAATCATAAAACATATACAGATGTGCCATATTAATAGGCAGGCAAGTTAACAGAGCCTTTTTATCTGCATTAGCTAAATAAAAAAGCCAGCATTAATTGCGTTGTTAAACAGTGGCAAATCACTGGCGGCTTTTCTCATTTCTTTTAAGGCCCGCAGGGATACAGCCTCGGACCGCGCAGACCAGTAAACCCAGCCTCCAGGAGCAGGGCACTCAGCTCGGTGCCACGGAGCCGGCCGCAGAGCTGCCCCACGGCCGCGCTCCGCCCCACGGCCGCGCTCCGCCCCACGGCCGCGCTCCGCCCCACGGCCGCCCTCCGCCGCGGAGCCGCCCCACGGCCGCGGAGCCGCCCCACGGCCGCGCTCCGCCGCCGCCACCTCCGCTCCGGCCGCGGGGAAGCCGGCGGGCGCGGCCGCGTAAAATCGAGCAAAGTCACAGACAAGGGTATGTAAAGGTACAAACATGCAAACTGGCAATATGCCCTCTGATGCAAACAAGTCCCGAAGCTGTCTCTCAGCTGTGACACTGCCAGCAGCGAGTAATCTCTTTGCTGCCCTGGGACGCTCCTGTGTGCACGGCAGAAGCACACGTTTAAGCGCTTGGCTGCTAAGGGACTACGGAGATCTGCTCTGAAGCCCGGACTCTAAATATGCTCACAAACAGCCTTCCTAAGTTCAGCAGTGACTTTATAAACACAGACCGCGCTTCCCAGCCCTAGAGAGAACTGTGTTTGGCTCTGCGCTCCCTGACTGCTGAGCACCGGACCCACGGGCAGCCTCCGGCCCCTCGCCCACTGCCCACAGCCCCACGCCTTCACTGCTCCGTGGCGCTCCCTGGAGATGCTCCCGCGGGCAATCTGGAACACGGTCTTGGGCAGGAAAAAAAAAAAAAAAAAAAAAAAAAAAGGGCAGCGGGGGAGTTACGAGCCATCCAGCCGGCAGCAAGGGGCTAAAAACGCGCTTGGGGGGGGGGGGGGGGGGGGGCCGCGGGAAGGGGGCTACCTCCAGCACAGCCGCCCGCAGGATAAACCCGAGCCCCGGGGCGCAGCTCGGGGGGTGGCAGCGCCCGCCCCGACCGACGGCGGGGCCCTGCGGCGGATCCGCCCCGCTCCGCGCCCCGCTCCGCGCCCCGCTCCGCACCCCGCTCCGCGCCCCGCTCCGCACCCCGCACCCCGCGGCCGCCCAGCCTCCTCCGCGCCGCCCGCCTTGTCCCTCGCAGCCCCGCTCCGCCGACGCGTACAAAAGCGCGGCCGTTCTCCGCGCCTGGCCGCGCCCGCGGGCTCCGCTGGGCTGGGCCGGGCTGGGCTGGGCTGGGCTGGGCTGGGCCGGGCTGGGCAGCGCCTGAACGGCGATACCGAGTCCCCGGGCCGGTGCTGGGCTCGGGCCCCCCCACCCCGCACCCCCACCCTCCAACACACTCCCCTCCCGACGGCCTGGCCCGCGTTAGCAGCGAAGCGCTCACAATCCGCCCCGCTGCGCAACCTGTGCTGGCAGTGCCAGGGATCTCCTGCCCAGGCAATCACTCCTCCGTGGAACTCCCCGATAAAGCTTCCCAGGAAATCTGGCCCGCGGTCTTGGCAGAAGGATCAGGCAGTGGGGGAGTTACGGGGGCTCCTCGCGGTAGCAGGAGTCTGACGCCGGCGTGCTCAGGAGCGCAGGTGAAGGCCAGCTCTAGAGGAGATGGCTAGGAGGGCAAGTAAAAGCCCCGGGCTGATCCAGTGAGCAGGAGCAGGGCTGGAAGGCAGAGTCAAAACAGCAGAAGCTCTGCAGGGCACCTCCAGCACATCCCCGGAGCCATTTCCTCGCCGAGTGGCTTCAGCGTTCTGGCAGTCCCTCAAACCTGGGCCCGTGGCAGCCCCGGGGGGGGGACGTGAAGGCTGGGGGGCTCAGGCCACCTCCATGGGCCGGCAGCGCTCCCCACCTCACAGGACAGAGCTGATCTCTTGGTTAATGCCCACTCGCTTTTGCTACAGCAACAGGCACGCAGTTCCCACTCCTCCCCTCCAAGTGAATGCTTGAATCACACCACGGATTCACGGGCAACTGACTTTTGTTCTTCAGGGTCTTCGTCCGCGAATGAAGGCAATTATCACATCGCAGATCCTCTGCTCGCTGCAGTAAATCTCTCGCAGAAGAATGGACCTTGGAGGCAGCTGCTCCGGGCTGCTTAGTCACCGCTGCCAGCTGGGAAACGGCCTGGCACTCATGGACAGCGCGGCACGGAGCGCCAGCGGCTTGCGAGGCAGCGTGGCAGCACCGGGACGGGGCTCTGCTGCTGCGGTGGTTTGGCCAAAACTGGATCTGACTTCCCTCGGTGATGGAGAGAGCAAAGGGTATGAGGCAGCGCCCAAGTTCACACCAAAGATCTTCAGAGGAAAAGTGCAAAGTGTTGTTCAAACTTATGGCTGGACTAGGTTTAATAAGAGTTTCCCAGCAGATAGTAAACTATTTTCTTTACGCCCGTGTCTTAGGCAGAATTAAACACCTTTTGTAACAGCACTAAATGCAGTTTTCTGGTAGCATTAGAAATTGAATCCAGCCCACAGCCTCCAGCATCACTCCTCTTTTCTATAGCCATACAAATAAACCATCCTCGTGCACAAGCAGAGAGGTGAAGCAAAGTTTCCCGTGCTCACTGCATGCCGCCTGAGTTTCTAACCTCACCTAACCAAGTGCTCTGGATTTAAATTTGAACTAATTTCCATAATTACACACTGGACTTTCAAATAAAACTTGATGCTTTGGCTGGCAAAGAGACTCTGGCAAGAACGCTTCACTGGCATTTCGAAGGAAAGGTCACAGCCAGCAAGTGGAAGCTAATAATCGGCACTTCATTGTCCTTTCACCTCAAATCACACCTAAAAGGCCCCAAAGAGCGCAGACTCCTGGGCTGCTGAGCAAGTCTGGAAAGCGGGGTCCAGTGCCCGGCCTGCTGGACGCTTCCTTCGGATCTCTCCACTCTCCGGAGGATTTCCTGCAGCCACGGGCACCCGTGGGCACTGCCACCTGCTCCCTGCCATGGCAGCAGAGTCATCGCCACCAGTGCTGGTAATTCATCACTGTATCGGCACTAATTCCCACAAAGCAAATATTCTAGCCACTCAGCTGTCTCCTTAAGGCAACCGCAGCTCCTGAAGTCAGCCTCCATTCACACAACTCAAAATAAATTAGAAATAACAGAGTTCTTAGAGTTAAGAGGTGTCCATCCAGTGCAAGAAGACCTTGGCAAGCAGACATATGACCTTGGGACAGTTAGGTGGTAAAATCCCAATGTACTTTTAATGCCTGTAAATCTCTCTAATAAGCAGCTGAGCAAAGGGCAAACTGTGTTGCACAGTTAGGGTGATGCTGTCACTCTGGGTTAGCTTATTTTTAAATAGGTTCCAATTCTGTTTACATGCAGTCAATTTAAAAAATTAGCTCAGGTGCATTTTAAGAAGTGTTATTCTTCCCAGTTAGTAAACCCCGATCTGCCACCCTCAAGGGACATCTTTCACACAACCCTTGGAAAAGCTTCCCAGCACATGGGCTAGCAACATGTTAATCTTTATAAATCAAGTATTTGCCAACTGGAGAAGAAAGCCATGTGTCTAAGCAAGATGCATTGAAAACTGAAACAAAGCGCTGTGTGTGTCAGAGATCACTAGGTCATGTTGCAAGCCTGTCCCTTGCAAAGTTATCCTTCAGAATAACATTTCCCTAGCCCAGTTGTAGATGTTATTGCATTCCAGCATTTTTATTCCCCCTCTTTTTACTGCATAAAAGTGACCCTCTCCCTGACCCAGCTCCTCCTCACAGAGTTCAATGTCACCCAAACTTGTTTGAATTCAATTTAGTTCCGAGCTGAGACGGGGCTTGCCAAGTCTTGACTTAGGAGGCATTGGGAGAAAAGATGCAGACTTACCTCCCTCCCCCCAGTACTGGGGCTGTGAAAATATGCCACACGCCTGCTGTACCTCAATTATTTTACACTTTCACACATCTGAAAATTTCACAAGCTGCTGTTTGGTGCTGATGCCTCACACTGATACCAGCGCTGTTTCTGCATTTCAAAACTTTGTGGTACCCTTATTTATCTGCATATGGATGCTTCTCTTTGCTTCCGCAAGGGATACTTCTATTGTAGCATTTGGAAGGAACTGAAAGCACAGAGTCTCCATCCTAATAAACCATCTTTGACTGTCCAACTACTTATTATTCAAAAAGAAGAGTGAAGCAGTTACTGCTTCTCTCTTGACTAATGCCAAGTACTTGAAAAGGGGCACTTGGGCTGTTTGTGAGTCACAGGTAAGAACTGGAGCCTTCTGCTGACTCTAATCCAGGCACTTTATGAGCACAGACAGAGCCCAGATGTCTCTCACATGCAGAAACTAAAAGTCTAAGATGCTTCTATGGGGCCAAAACACTTCTGCTTTCCAGTTCCGCCAACAAAGCCTTCCGTCAGCTGTCATCCACCCCTGCAGAAGGGCACTGCAAGTGGGCAGTTTGTAATTTCTGCAAATAAAAGTCTGTGGCAGACTTAAGGCTGAGAATGGACAGTCTACCACTGACACAGGAACAGGACTAATGGATTTCTGAGTGTGTTCTCAGCCTATATATTTAACACATCCCTGGAACAGACACTTCTATGCTAAAGCTCCTCTTCTTTTCCTTCCCACACCACTGAGACTCCCATGTGTGAAGAGAAACAGGAGCTTGCTGTCCCATGAACTCCAGCTGGCTGAAAGGCTGCTGGCTTCTGCTCCCACAGGACCTCCAGGTCAGCTCTCCCAAAAGAAGATTCATCAGTATTCAGGAAGCAATTAACACTGCATTGCAGTGATCCGGTCATGGCACAACTTCCCACAGCTCCAGCTGACAGGGAGACGTCGGTCCAGGCCATCCCACGTCTGTCACTCCAAGCAAGCTGTTCACACACGTTATCATTCTCACATGGATCAAGCTCTCAGAAGCAGCAATGTCTGGAAAAATTTAAACAACTCTTCCACCTCCTCTGGACAAAGTCACAGCATCACCACCTAACCTCCACGTGCACATTACCCTGAAGACTGCTCTGTAGCTACACAGCAACCACTGACCGGCCAAACTAGCTGGCAGCACTCATCCAGTGCACAATTTGCTCTTTGGACTTTGGATCATGGATGCAATTTCACATTCACAGCTCTGCAGGAGAGAGACATAGAGGCCACGTGTGCAAGCTAATTCTTCAGGTCTCCAAACAAGCATCCTTATTCTGCACACCGCGCTGATTTGCTTTTGTGGCCAGACACCTGCGTGTTTGGCAATGCCACTATTTGTCTAGTTCTCCCAGTTTCCTCTCCCCCTCTCCTTTCAAGTCTGTCACATCAGGGTTGACCAAAATTCCTGATGCTACAGGCTTCACATCAAGAGTCTGGCACGGCAGGGATATGTCCCCCAGCAAGCTGAGGGGAGAGGGCACAAGTTCACAGGCAGGAAGAGCGACATCTCCCAAGGGGACAGAGGGACCCATACGTGTAGGTCTCAAGAGCCTGGCTGTACCAGCTCTCCACCTCCTCGCACAGCAAACCGCACAATTCACCCCCCAGGCCTCACCCCAGCATGCCCCCGTTAGCAGCAATGCAGTCTGCCTTCAGCACACGAGTCGCACCGCAACTGCTTGCAAACTGGAAGCTGTGCAAGAGCCCTGCAGTGAATATCTCTGTCTCCTCTCCCTGTTTTGTGCACTGCTGAAAGTAGAGTGTGGGATCAATCACTGGAGAACCACAGCAGACACTACTTTGTGGCACATGGCAGTCATATGTTATATGCCTGGGGAGATGGAACTGATAGCAAGGAAAAGGTTTTCCTAATTTACCTCTGTGGTTTTCCTGATGCCTCTGTGCTGGAAGAACTCCTGCACCAGCACAAAAAAAGTTTGAGATTTGCTGACCAAATTAGTTTATTCTAATACCTCTCTCTACAATGGCTGAGGAGGTCAGCTGCTTCACTTCCAGTTTCGGTCCTGGTCACAAGAGGCAGCTCTGAGACTACCTGTGTTGCTGCATTGCTTTCAGGGCCTTTGGAGGGTTAGTAATTTGGGAGATTTTTAACCATTCAGAGTGCCAGATACGGAGTATTATCCAGGGCTTAGAACGTGAATTAGCTGGGTAAAAAATCTGTTCCATGGATGCCGGTGTTTAGTCCTAGTCCTGGCTAAGCAATGCAGGACTCCCACTGCAGTTTCGGTGCACAGCACCCCACTTAGTGTTTATTTGCTGTGACACGCTGACAACTACAAGACATCTCAGCTGAGAAGAAAGGCTTTCCTCCGTAACTGCAGGCTTATATTTCTAAGGCCAATGATCCTATTCCAGTGCTATTTTCCTTTCTAAACTCGTTTGTAGAGTTAGATTTAACCAGAGTTTTATTTTGTTGTTTTTGTTTCTTAAATGCCCTCAAGTCTCGGTGAGGTTTGTTTCAGCAATCTCTTTCGGGCATGCCAGCCATAATCTCACTCTTCCAGGCCCTTCTTATTGTCTGGGATGAAAGCACAACACAGAGCCTCCCCTGCTAATTGCCAGCTTTATGTTTCCCAATGACAGGTGTATTGTCTGGAGGAACAGACCCAATTGTGTCCCTGCACAGTAGGGCATCAGCTGCTGATATTAGAGAGCCTTTCAGGGGAGCTTGGCCAGGGCTGGTT